TGAGACATCATTTTCACACATGGATTGGCCACCACAGAGTCCAGACCTTAACCCCATTGAGAATCTTTGGGATGTGCTGGAGAAGGCTTTGCGCAGCGGTCAGACTCTACCATCATCAATGCAAGATCTTGGTGAAAAATTAATGCAACACTGGATGGAAATAAATCTTGTGACATTGCAGAAGCTTATCGAAACAATGCCACAGCGAATGCGTGCCGTAATCAAAGCTAAAGGCGGTCTAACGAAATATTAGAGTGTATGACCTTTTTTTTTGGTGGTGACTTTTTTTTTGGCCAGGCAGTGTATATCTATATATAAAAAAATCAACAGGTGATTTTTTTTTGATCTCCTCTAATCATCACGCTGTAACCTGTGACAGGCTGTTATGACACCCTAACTATTTAACATTCAGATGTATGTAGTTTTTTTGTCGAGCCACGAGCGCCACATAGGTTTACATTACCAAAGGTTTATGACCAAATCACTAGATGACACTGACTCCTGTGTGCGCACAGTGAGAGAGGAGAGGGAGAGACACTGTGCTGCTGCTGGAGGAGCCGCTGAATGAGTTCCCTCTGAGCAGTAACTCGCTAAGAGTCTGAAAAGTCCAGGGCTGTTTGTAAAACATTCAGGACGCCACAGTTTATTCCACACTACTGAAGCTGCTCCTCTTTTTGGGAACCACCGCAGAGTCGCTAATAATTTTGCTTTCAGCCATGCTTTTTGTTGCCGTGGGTAACAGTATGACGACAATATGTCAACAAGTTGAAATATCGTGAGTGTCACAATATGAAGTTTTCACAAGATATTACAAATTATACCAGTGAACGAGTTGATATGGCACACCCCTGCTACATGGGTGTGCATGGACTATAAGCATAATCTATTAAAAAAATGAACAATTGACAGGCTAATTGACTGTTGGTTGCAGCCATTACATGTATTAACAAGTGTATTTCTTTGCCACACAGTGTGAAATGTAGTTAAGGAAATCTGCTCTCTAGTCGCCTCCAATGAAGTTTTAATTGCATCACTCCACTTTTCTTGTACCCCTCTCTCAGTGCAGTATTGAGCAATTACCGGCAGCTTCCTGCTTTTTGAATTAGTCCTTGCCAGGTCACGAGCTGCCTTTTCACTCAAGATGTCAAAAGCATTTCATTAATTTCATACACGAGGAACACGGGCTAATCACAAAAGCAATCAGTCGTGTAGATGCAGGCAACGGCTTCACTGTGAAACTCTCTTTTCATCAGTGTGTACCAGTCTGTATAAAAGCCTGTGTTATTCATAATAATTTAAAGTTTGGCTCTCACATAGAGTTGCTGTTACGATGGGAGAAAACACAACCTCCGTTGACCTGCAGCTGACCTCACTCATCATCACCTGACCCATTAATTCATATTTAATTAGTGACATGGCAGAATCTATTAACTTGGTAGTGAACTATTCACTGCAGACACATTCTTGGGAGTATCATTGTGCGGTTAGACCAGTTTGGGTCATGGGATTGGGAGTAGAGAAACAGTAAGTAGGTTACAAATTCATGTCCATTTTAAAAAGATGACATCTGACAGCCATTTTTAAAAGCTGGTTGACCACTGTGTTATTATAATGAATGACTCTGAATCTGTACATGCAATGAAAACAAGGTTCTGCTTCATTTTAGGATCTCACTGTTGTTGAAAATCAAAGGACCTTTGACCTTATCACCCCCAATGATCATCTGATTTGCAGTGAGGTTAGTTTTCTTAACCATTACTCTCTACTTTTTCCCACTGACTATTGATTAGCACTTGGGTAGTGTAATTTAGATGTCAGTCAGGGTGATGTTTGACGGACAGCAATGAATTACACTGGGGTGATGCAATACCCTATTGATTTTATGAATGATAGGTCAGATAATTGCGGACTCAGCCAATAGATTTAAAGATCCGTTGGTAATTAAACTCATAATTACTTTCTCTCCCCCCCCCCCCCCCCCCCCCCCGTCTTCGATGAAGCTAATGAGGTGGATCATCAGCGAGATCTATATTGTTTGGATGCTTCATAATGGCACATTTAGAGAACAAGATGGTTGGAGACCTTGGGAGCACATCTACTCGCTGTGTAAGGTGGCGAAAGGTCATCTGCCGCTCTACAACAGCTACGGGAAATACGTGGTCAGACTCTATTGGATGGTGAGCTTGAAGCACACACATACATGGACTACTAAAGATTTTATTTTTTTTTTAATAAACTTTATTTGAAAAGCATACATTATGTTTACATCAAGCATGTCAAAACCTTGTGTATGATGTTAAATGGTTCTTATTATTGTTATTCATGTATGCTGACACTGAATCTGAAAATTAAACAACAACAAAAAAAAAAAAATCCAAAAACTTTACTTAGAAAACCACAGTTTTTACATATATAGTCTTTGTACAAAACATTATCCAAATGTCACATCTTTCGATATTTGTTTTGGGGCATTTTTGCCTTTATAGATAGGACAGTTAGGCGTGAAGGGGGGAGAGAGAGAGGGGTAATGACATGCAGCGAAGGGCCACAGGCTGGAGTCGCACCCGGGCCGCTGCGGCAACAGCCTTGTACATGGGGTGCCTGCTCTACCACTAAGCCACTGACGCCCCCAGATGTCACATCTTGAGTTGAGTATAGAGAGCAACCAACATCATCTGCCCAGTATGACTTAAAGCAGATGTGACATATGATTATAATACGTGATAATTCATGAAAAATTAAATAAGCCATCATATAAATTTAATAGTTCAACATTTTTAAAAATATGCTAATTCACTGTTTTACTGAGAAAAGTTTTATGTTTTCCTTTAACTTGTTGACACTTGAACAAAACAGGATCTTGTCTTGTATGATAAATGTGCACATGAGTATTTGGGCTGGGAATCACCGGAGGCTCCACGATATGATATCATCACGATACTTAAGTCACGATACAATATTATAGTGATTTTAAACATGTCGCGGTATACTGAGTATTGCGATAGAATATATTGCAATATATATTACCTGTTTAAAACTGCTTTTTTGCAGCAGCAGCAAAATGTATCTAGTGGACTGAAAAAGCAACTGATTATATTATTCAAGTAGGCTGCCTAAAGTTTGATTTTTATTTGTTATGTTAATCATTTATATAATAAAAAAATTGTAACAATACAATGTTGACACACAAATATATCTCAATACTATGCTGTATTGTTTTTTTTCCCCCACACCCCTCGTGAGCATAGGAAAATGTGGTTGCCAGTGAAAATATTTCTTCAACACTGCACATCTCCTGGATGGTAAAGCACCATCAGGTCATCATCGACATGAGTCCATACAGTATCTGCTGTCACAGCACACGTTGGCAATGTACGATTACAGGAATGTCTGTTGTAATATCTAACATACTGGTATCTGTGAATTTGGCTACATTTAATGAGCCCAAAAAATACATGGTTATTGTCTACTGTCGGTTCCTTATACATCTGTGTTATGCTGCTGACGTTACCACCTTGCCAGGCACCCAGTCAGCCAGGCCAACAGTATGATAATAATATCCAAAATTTTTTCATGGATTTTTAACATGGATTTGATGTTCACAATGTGGCATTATTGGGTAAAACAATAGTGCTTCTCCCCAGACGTGTGAATAGTGAGGTTATTGTGTCCTTACAGATTTTAATATGTCAGGGACAGAGGACACATACCTAGCAACGCCACAGATTACAACACACCAGGTGGAAAAGAGTTTTTAAAGAAGATACAAAGAAATAAAAAATGAAATAATTTTTTTGTAAAACTTTTTTTGTAAAGCTTTGTAAAGATTATATACTAATATGTATTACTAATAATAAAAATGTAGTTTTTAGTAAACTCAGAAATTCTCACAGATGAATTCACTGCTTCTCAGTGCCTTGTTAATCACATTTTACAGGCACACTTGAGGCGATGGATGATAAAAGATTGTATTGTTCAGCAGACCTCATAGGATGCAGCAGATGAGAGGGGAATGCGAGAGGGGACGAGAGAGCCTTATCCACTCACAGCTCAGATCAATCAGTCTCACGACTGTGCCCAAAGTGGTGGGGCTTCATACATTCCCTGATGAATAGATAAGGCTTAACAGGAGTCAACTGCTTCTCAGAGAGCAAGGCTCAAGTTGGGTATCTATGAGAGACCATGGGAGCAGGCACGACCCTCAGAGGTCATTCATACTGATTCTGTGCAAGTGTAAAGATGTTACAGATATTTGCCTCTAAATAAAGGCCGTCACTGTATTGGATGCAGTTTGAAGTTGCAGAGTTTCAGTATATACTGTATGTTGCTTGCCACAGATCTCTAAGTAGTGGACACTGCATCATTGTGTCATTTTAGAAAGGGAACTTCTTCCAGCACAACAATTTGGGTCAGTGAGGGAGTGAAAAAAAAAATAGAGCTAAAAATGATTGTGTTCTGTAACACTGTGACTCTTGCCTTGACAAACAAGCATGACACGGTTGTAGGCAGCAGTCCCCGTGCCAACCATAGCACGCTAACAGATGGTTGTTGAGATGGCATTAACCACCCAGCCCCCAACCGCCCTTCCCGTTTCCTCGCCTGCTCTTTCTCATGGGCTACTCCTTTTCTCCCCTGCTCAGATATTCCTTTATTGTTCCACACCAATCTTTTTTTCCTCCTTCACGCCGCTGTGAATATTCCATTCCTCATTTTCTCACCCTGCTCTCCACCATCCGACAACTCTGTCTCTGCTTTCCTGCCTTTCTTCCTCTCTCCTCTAACTTGCCCTTTTGCACTTTATTTTACCCCATCTGCAAACACATCTAGCTCCTCCTCGGGGCGATGGTTTGACAAGAAAGTGGAAGAACAAGAAAGAAAAAAAGTGTGCCGCCCACACTGTATATAGGCTTGCATTGCTTGAGAACACTGCTCTGATAGATAAAGAGAGGCACAGCTGCGAACAGTCAGTCAGATTATCAACTGCTTGTGCTGCTTTTTCTTATGAGCAGTGTGAAACTCCCCCAGACGGCCAGTAGACAGACCACACCAGAGACAGCATGTAACGAGCCCTGACACCAAACAGGATGCTAAGATGCAAGCATTAGGAAGCTAATGCTAGGAGAGGTGTTGAAATGTGAAGCCCATACATGATCTCTTTAGCGAACATGTGTATCAGCCAATATCGAGTGCCGATGCGATACCGTTGTTTTAGAAAAATAGATAAATAAATATAGCTGCAAGCAGCAACTTTGGGATTCAAGCCAGCATTGACCTTTAAAACTTGAAAGCTGGGTAAAATCAAGACCTTTGACAGTTTAGGATGGCTGTATTATAGATAAACAACAGGTTTTATGACAGGTGCTCATTCATTAAAGTCCAAATCTCTACTGGGCTCGCTCTTTTTTTGGAAACAGTGTCACTTCCAATTGGTCAACTGCAAAAAACATTTTGGGGACATGCTTTCATGGCTTAATCAAAAAAAGTCCACTGAGTTTGGTGATGTTTGAACAAACCCTCATTGATTTCCAAATTTTGCAAAAGGTGATTGCACTTGTTTGGAACTTGTGGCATCTCCTATTGACTGTTTTCAAAATAATTTCACACATGTGTTTCATCATTATTATTTAACATACCCTGCACGTTTTGTAAAATAATAATAATACATTTTATTTATAATGCCCTTTTCATCAAAAGATCTCAAAGTGCTACAGGTTAAAAACAAAGAACGATAACAAATAATAAAAAAAGGAATGGAAGGGAATAAAAACAAGATGAGCAGTTATTTAAAAAGGTTTAAAAACAAAAACATCTAAGGGGGAACCAAAAGCTTTGCTAAAAATAAATGTCTTAAGACCTTTTTTAAAACAGTCAGTGGATTGTGGTGCCCTAAAGGTGTCAGGGAGGGCATTCCACAGACATGGGGCAGCAGCACAGAAGGCCCTATCTCCCATGGTCCTGAGTCTGGTTCTGGGTATGTGGTTCTTTTGTAATGATTGGACAATCAATTTCTGATTTATGGTCTGATTTGTATTATCCCACCCCCTTTTTTTTTTTTTTTTTTTTTGCATTTGTAGTGCCCCCTAGTGGTCAATATGAATAAAACTTGCAGGATATGTTCCTGGTACCTCTTGAGACATTGCTTGCAAGGTTTGTGATGATTGCACCAAAGGTTGTGGAGTTATGTGTGAAGAAATTATTAATATTACAAATACAAATTGAACTTTTGGTAGCCTACTAGAATAAAATAGTCAGTTGCCTTGTGACAGAGATAGTATAGATATTTAACAATGTAACAACAGCCTTTTTTAGAAAGAAATTGTGCAAATTTGTAGGAAAGCCCAATCAGTCTTCTTTCAGCATTGGCAGTATAAAAAACAAAAAAGGGGAGGGCGGCAAAAGGCCGCCTACCTAATTTTGTTTATACAGAATGCGCCTTTTTCAGGGTGATGGGGGGCGTGAGCAAGTAACAAAATGTGTAGCTCAGCGTGTGATGTAAACAGTGACGTGGGAGGGAAGCCGCTGCTCGTCAGTCCTTCGGCAATTCTCTCGTAAGTCGGCCCGTTCTTCACCGTCCCCGTCATCTGACGGTTAATGGCCTCTTTGTTTGCGAGGACAAGGAGGGCGCACAATTCTTTGTCTCCCCAGTTGCTCATCTTTACAGTGTCTGTCAGGTTTGCGTTTCCCTCTTACTACTAGCTCAGGGCTCAACAATAAGGATTGCCCGATTGCCCAGGGCAAGTAAAACTCACGGTCGGGCATGTAAACTAACAACTCACTTGCCCGATCGGGCAAGTTGCTAAAAATAGTAAAAGTTAATAACTAATTGATAAAATAAATGTATTTTAAAACGTGCTCTTCTGCTCTGATGCAGCGGTCTCTCTGCCTGAAGTCACAGGCACAGCTGTGTAACAATGTCCTGCCCACAGCCCCCATTGATATTATTTTGCGTGACGGACGCTTCATATAATAACATAACAATATACTATTTATGGTGTTATGCCATCGTGTCATTTCTGTCTCTACATGGTCACGCGTTAACAATTCTCCTCTGCTCTCTGTATCGCGCACGGCGGAGTTCCGCCACACACACAGGTGAGCACGCTAGAGTGGCTCGGGCCGCTTTTTCCTGACCAAACCTGACCCCGAGCCCGGTGCAATTTGTCAGCTGACAAAGTTATTGAAATGGACAGTGTGTAAATAACCATCAACAGACTGTTGTTGCTGTTGACAGTAAAATACTTGATTTTGCGAGATGTACTGAACTCAAATATTTCAGTTATTGTCAAGAATTATGAAGCAATGGTTTTTGTTTTTTTTGTAGCACCTCAAGTTTCAGATTTGAAGTCATTTCAAGTTAGAAATGTGGGATTTTTTTTGTCTTCTTTGTCATATTCCTAAATTTTTACAGTAAAAATGATTGATTTTTGTGTCTAGTCAGAGATGTCCTTGACTGAAATGTATCTGAAAAACAAAGTAAGGAATTATCCATTTGATTTTGTTTTCCCAATAACCCAAAAATCAAAGAAAGAATAGACATTCCCTCACAGTTATGGGTATTTGCTTTATGATTTTAAGGGACACCAGTTATATTAGAGTTCTACTGAAAAGTGAAAAGAAGGGGTCATTGTTTATTAATTTTCCAGCAATTAATTTCACAAACTATTTACTACTAAACTAGTTACAACTAACTGTGAGGACCCCGCTGTGCTCCACCGTCTCATCCGTCTTCCAGAGTCTTGTAGCAATAGGACTGCCTTCATTTCCCATCAGTGCCTGTCGAGTGCTAGACTAATGTCTAGTGAGTAGTTTGTTGGGTTTTGTGTTATATGCTTCAGGCCCCTGTTTCAGAAAGCGGGTTGTGTGAAAACTGCAACTAGCTTAAGCCTGAGATGAGGGAAACTATGGATTTTTTCATTTCAGAAAGAGATGCTACTTAAACTCTGGGTCTGTTACTATGGTAACTGACTCTGTAAACCTAACCTGCTCTTTGGCAGGTTTTCTTCAGCAAACTCTGAGTTTCTCTCTGTCTCCTACCTCTGACAGAGCCTAGAATCAAAATGCTTGAATATTAGGTTGTTACCCAGGACTATCTACAGTTATGTCTTTTTTGCGCTGTTAGTCATTTCAAACAGCGTTTTTTTTTTTTGCCCTCACATTAAAATCTCACACAGCGTTATGTCACCCCTTATCTCTACACACATATCTGATATGTAGGCCTATGCTTTATCGTCACCACACAGTAGATGATGGGTTCAGAGACTGAGTCACCCACTGCTAAGAATAAAACCTCTGCATGTCTTTTTTACGGGTGGAAGTTCTTTTCTTTTTTTAAAGGTTACATAGTGACTCGTCACACAAGACAGCTGTCAGGCTGTTTGAGCAGTACCACTAAAACGTTTATTGCACATAATGTGTAATCTGAGTTTAAATCACAGAAATAAAATGGTTTGAAAATGAAAATTTCATTACTGTGACTTAAGTTGTAAAAATTGGAATGAGAGAATAATTATCTCTATCACTCACAATGTAATAGGTCGCACTGATGGAATATGAGTCCTATTAATATAATGATTATATTATAATATTTCCCATGAACAGGATCGTGCTACAGCTGCAGAATGAAACAGAGTTTTTTAAATAGACGGTGTATAGTCTGAATGTGTTTTAACAGCATTTCAGTGGCTGTGTTTAAAGTAGTTGACATAAAGCCACATAAAGATCTTGTGCCACACATAACACTGTTGGGCCAAAGATCCAAATAGATTATAAAAATTTAACTCTACTGTATTTTAACCCCAAAATACATTATTACTGGGCCACATTGTGACGTTACAATCATGCCCTTGTCTTTGATATGAATATATATTTTAAATCTTCATCTATATTTTTCATCTTCAGTTGCTGTCCCTGTGTTTTATCACTGTCAGATTAAAGCTGTACAAATATATTTAAAGTTCAATGTTCCCCATGGCCTAATGATGAATAAAACTTTATTGTGTTAACTTAATGACACTTTTCTCTGCTCTGACTCAGCCGACGACTTTCTTCTTTAAAGATAAATGTGCACCGTCTGCATATACATACATTAATATCTCTACGTCCACTGGAGTAACCAAGGTTCCGCCTTTTATTGACCTGTTGCCATGGTAAATCGTAGTATCGGAGCTTTAATGATGAAGGCTTTTTACATTCACCGTGCACAAGCTTAACTCAGAGTTGATTGAACCGATTCTGATCAGCTGTGCTGGAACCGAAAACTAAGTTTTCTCTCTCAAGATTCTTCAACTCAGAGTTCAGGGTTAAACTCAGTTTGTTAAACCTGCTTTCTGAAATGGGCCCCTGAATACAAATATGACTTTTAATCAGTGTTTGTAAGGTGTCTGTTCAGAACAGAGTAGCTCACGTTGGTGATTATCCTCTCTGTGCTGGTTTATGTTTTCAACCATGAGTCAGGTGACTGTTACATTTCTTTAGTAAAGCTGTATTTTCTCTTAACAAGGGGCGGGGTTAATGTATACAGTATAATGTTTCGAAACAACCTCAAACCACATTGCGAGACGGTCTGCAGTCAAATCCCTCTGCTGGATCAACCAGGAAATTACAGAACTCTATATTTTTATATGACGTCATATGGTTAACAATGATAATATTATGACAATATTATGTCAGTGTGTTTTGAGGTTAAACATGCAGATACTGATATATAGATAATCGATATATATCGATAATATAGGCTGACCGATATATCAATCAGGCTCTAATTGCTTTGATTGTTGTACAGCATGGCACAGATTTAACCCTTTGTAACACATAAATACATACAGAGAATGAATGCACACGTCGCCTTTTTACTAGTGGGACTTCCCAGTGTAAAACCTTGCCGAATTGCTGACATGTTGCTAATTCTTTTGCACTGCACTGAAACACTAGTTGCCAGTGGTTGCACAGTGCAACTTCCTGTGTAGGCTACCGTTGAGGAAGAATTTATAACCGGGAAAACTGTCATTTTATTTGGGTGTTAAACTACTTTAAAGTTAGTAATTATGTGGTGTCAGATCCGTGCATAGACTCGCACACTTACTGATGCTATATCCAGCATTTTAGGCAGTAACGAAGGGATTTCTGATACTGGTAATGATATCGGAACAACTCTAGTTTTAGGTACGCTGCTGTTGATCTTTTTCTTCTTTCCTTCAATAATGGCTGTTTCAAGAATATATTGTAACCATTTTCACCAAAAGAACTTCCGATTATGATTATGAATGTGTTTTTCATTCCAGAAATGCACAAGCATCTGTCAGTCATTATTGAACCATAGCGGTGCAGTTTTGCACTAAAAAAAAATTCGGGCCCTCTGCAGTCTACTCAGTCGTTAGCCAAGATCAATAGTGCTAACCCCAGACTAACCTTTGTATTGTGCACTTGGCACTGAAACAGACACCTGTTCTTAATTAATCTGCTCACATTTTAATGCTAAGCTCTAGGCCTGGGTGACAACGAGAAAATCCAATGTAACAATATTTTTGATACCTGGATGTGGATTTTGCAATATTTTCAAAAAATGACATCACTTTACTGTAATGCAGCTTTTAAAACCAGGAAAAGACAACACGTGTGTCATTGTGATATCCAAAATCTCAGAGGATATCTAGTCTCACTAAGCTAACAGTTTCTTTTATCTGTAACTGGAGATTTCTTCTATTCTCACTGAACTGTTGCTCGGAGATACCTGTGCCTCTTTCTGCTCTCTCAGTTGTCAGTCTGGTTGAATCGTTGTGCAGCGTTCTGTCCTCCATGAACAAAACATTACCTTTTTTACAAACCCTCGATACAAAATAACATCTATTTGTTAAGAGGACTTTCTACAACCTAAAAAGCATGAAAGACCATTAAAAATATAGAGTAGTCCTCTCAGCTATCTGACTGTTCCGAATCAAGCTTTTATGGCAGATGATTCCAAACTTTTCAACAGCGGTGTATAATTCCACTTTTGGTGCTTATTGTGATGATCTGAGTCACAGCTGTGGCACATTCTGAAATGGCAGGACACATTTTTTACATCAGCAGTAGATGTGTCAGGGGCTGGTTTTAGTCATGGCCAATCACACCACCAGCTCCTCTTCTTACCTTTAAATGCAACTGTCTTCCCCACCTCAGTTTGTTGAGTGTTCAGTAAAAAAGCTCAGACAAGCATTCAAGTCACAGAATTCACTTTCAGGGAACTCTCAAGGAATCTGAGCAGCGGCGAGAAAACAAGAATTTTTCAGAACTGCTATTTGAGGTGCGCTGATTGTTGCACCATATCTTCACTCACTGTGCCTTCCTTGCTTGCTTGTAGGGTTGTTGGAGGAAGATAACAATAGATGATTCTATGCCATTTGATGAAGAAAACAACCTGCTTCTCCCTGCCTCCACCTGTCAGTCAGAGCTGTGGCCCATGCTGTTGGCTAAGGCTCTCATTAAAGTGGCCAACACCAAGTGAGTAATGTTCCAACAGAATCTCTGAAAAAAAAAATCTCTGTGCTGCTTTGAGGAGTTAAGAAAAGGTGCTTATAATCTTAAAGTAAGAGGGTTTAAGAACAGACTCACGCTTCTTCTAAGTTTATACCCACAAAGCTGACTCTAATAACACTACTATAACAATAAACACTACACACTATGCACACATTTGTACTACCACAGGACATTAACCCTGTTCAAGCAAAGCAGTACACAGGGTGGTACTTTTGACTATTGAATTTCAATGAATACAGACAGTGATTCACCAGTATTTGTAATAAACAAAATGAAGGCAGAACATTGAATCTACTAACTGATTTTTAAAAACAGTTTAACCCTGCCAGATCAAGGATGTTAAAACTGTAGTTTGTAACTTTTACCAAAAAATAGTTTTTATTATTCTAGCTGAAATGTCCCTATATTCGCACTAAACAAGCCTACTTAGCTGACTAGTAGCACTTTAATGACCTTACGGCATGTTAATGAAAACAACCAAGGTTGTGTTACTGTATTGCCTGTTTCTCATTTTAGTGCACTGTATGTGTAACCAGTGGACTCTAATGTTGTCCGCGTTGTGTTGATATGAAGAGGCCCAAACTGTGGATATCTTTGGAGGTGATCTCCGCTTATTCCTGACAACTTTATGCCTGATAATTCCTTACCAAAAACAAAATCCTGCGTGAATTCCGAACATTCAGCTTGACCCTTTCTCCCATGGAGTACAACAGCAAAAATGGCAGTCCCATGTTATATTCAATTCAGTGCAATTAAACACAGAAAATATATCTTACAGCAAGAGGTAAAAACAATCACGACTATATAACTCGAGCCCCTACACAAATTAAGTGACACAGGAATACGTTATGACACAATAAATTTAGGCTGAAACATTAGCGTATAAACAGCGCTAAAACACAGAAATTACTATGAGAGCAATGTTGCTTACCACGGAGTACAACAGCAAAAGGGAAGAGGTAAGGCGGGAGACACCCCTTTATAGGAGGGGTACCCCAAAGGTTAACATAGGGGTACAGAAACTGTATCAAAGGTTCCACATACTGACTGAGGAGGCCTAAGCAGGTCAGGTAATAACAACTGAAACAAAGTTTCTCATTTTACAGCTAAACAGTACACTAAAGTATGTTACTTAAAACATTTGAGGTGAGATACAGGCAATGCAGTGACAGAATCTTGAAGCATATTTTATCAGAGCTGCCTAGTAGACAATTTGACCGCATTTCACGGGGGCATTAAAATGATAAACAGCCACTTTAGAGACACCCCGGCACTGATTGGTTGTTGTTGCTTTGCATGCGGTCTGATTCTAGCAAATGCCATTAGAGGCACAAGGAAGATGAAGAGGGAAATGTTTTTTTCACAGAGCCAATTTGTGATTGCAATACAACACATTAAAGGTAAACTCATTTAAAAACATGACACATTTGTGAATACTGGGCTGCAATATGAATTAAATCCCCTCTGTCTTGCTCTTACCCACAGCAATCTGTTCCTTGGTCTCTCCTACAGTTGCATGTGTTTACAGTAAATATGATCACTGAACTTTATTTTAAAATGAAGGAAGTGTTTGTAAAATGATGCACAATACACCTAGAATTTCTCCATTTCATATACTGGTGCATCCGTGAAAAAATAGAATATTGAATATGGGCCCCCTCTGTTAGTGTACTGTACAGCGTATGCTTTACTTTAACGTTAATCAAAGAGAAATTGAGGGGAAATCAGGGTTTAGGAGATTGATTCTCTGGTTGACACGTACATACACACTGAACGTAACGAAGTACACTTACCTGTTTAAATCTCACACACACAAAGCCATGCACAAGAACCCCCACAGAGTGCCTTTTGCTGACTTAGCCAAACCTTCATCTGACCTAATCTCTGCCTTGGGCTGTCTTGACTTTGGTGACAGACAGGCAGTGTGTGTGTCTGTGATGGGGCAACATGGCGTGTGTAAAGGTGGCTGTTCCAGTGTCCACAGAAGGTCGAGACATAAATGTTTCATCTGAAACAGGAAACAAAGGAGCCCTCTCTCCTGATGAATCATTTATGAACTGTAGTGAAAGTTCTTCACACTGAACTAGTCCCAAACTTTGACCAGGTGTCTTCTGGGGCTCTTCAGAGAAGCCTTTTTACAATCAAAAGATGAATTTGAAGGCTTCATTATTTGGCGCTGAGTAGCATTTTTGTAGTGGTTATGGGCTGTGGCTTTACTGATCAAGTTGTATTGATTTCACTTCCTCGGGTATCTTGACTGTTGACTGGACAGGTTGGCCACAGGATCCCAAGAGGACTAATTAGAGCCGCTGTAGCCATCTGTTTCAACAGAGAATTGTGTGCTAGGGATACATACACGCTCATTCAGCAAAATCGGTTCTAGAGTCTTAAAGAGTATGTTCGGTGTTTTTCAACCTGGACCCTATTTTCTCATTTGTTTGTGTTTGAGTGACTAATGGAAACAACAGTTTTTGAAATTGCAGGACAGGCTGCAGTGTAACTATCCGGGCCATGTTTGCACCGTTAATTTCTGTCTGCTAAAAGTGCTAGTTTTGTTCAGTCTGAGAATATTACAGAAATGATCCCTACAGAAAGAGACTTTTTTTTTTTAAGGGTAAGATCCTTTTTTAAAACCAGACACAACCCCAAAATCACCATCGCCAAACTCACCAGACTTCATAAACAGTAATGTTATCATTGTAAAACTCAGTTAATTCAAAGAAACAACGTAAAACTCAGATAAACCATCCCAGTTTGTCTTCACCAACTCTGGTTTGGTTGAAATAAACCATTAATTTACCCAGTTAGATGTGAAAATATTCTGGCTCTATACACGCTAAAATGGCTGTTCATTTATACGGAGTCTGGTTGGTTTGGTGATAGTGATTTTTGGGGCTGTCCTTGGTCAAACAAAAAGGTTCTCAGCTCTTTGACAAAAAGGTCTATCTCTGTGGGCATCTGCTCCATAACTTGTCAGACGCTTGTAATAACAATCTGAGCCTGTTAGTGGCAAAAAGCTGTGAGGCCCTGATCACACAGATGGCGTTTTGCCTGTTGTAAAATGCGATGTTTTTTTGTTTTTTTTTAACTGAATGCCAGGCAGGCAGAGGCTACTTTCTGTAGCTCTGGTTGAGGGTGAGAGGGTGTCAGTAAGTAGTTTGTTGGGAACAGGGAAACAGACCACCAGTACCACCAGTTGGTCCAGGAGCTTCTCCTCCACGATGGCTGTTTCCAGGCGTATTTAATGATGACTCAGGGGCAGTTTGACAACCTGCTGTCTGTCGTCGGGCCTAGCATATCAAAAATGAATACTAAGTGCAGGGAGTCCTTTGGTCCTGCCGAGCGACTTGGCACCACAAGTTTCTCCTCCATTGTTTGCCAACTGTAAAATTGTTGTCCTGACTACCACAGAAGGCTGACCTCTTAAATCATCTGATTGGACAATGGGGAAAAAAGTGGAGATGACATTGAGCACTTTTCAACTCTGAGTTGCGCCTAAAGTGCAGAAACGGAAAGCTGCCTCCAGTTGCTTAAACACTTTGTGCGGTGGCCTTAGTGGACTATACTGATGCTGCAAACGGGCATTGTTGTTTGCATTGCAGCCAATTCTGGTGCTGCTGGCTGCAGCAGTCTCGCTCAATACTGGACCCCTTTCAAAACTTGTTGTCCCCATTAGTCACTTAGACACAAAAACATGGGAAAATAGGGTCCAGGTTGAAAATACTGAACTTACCTTTCAAATGTGCAATACACGTTCAACAAATATAAAAATGTATAACATAAGATGAACCTGTATCCTTGACTTTCAGTCACCCAGACAGTAATTGTTGTTTTACACTTAACAGTTCTGGTGACTTGTTGACATACTTGTGATGATGCCTGAAATGGTCATCATGTTCACCAATCTACCGAAACAAAAAGAGTCAATTTTATGCATTATGCATATTTTATGATCATGCAGTATAAATTTCCATCACAAACACAAATATTTTAAATATGGTGAAGGTCACGGATGTCAGTTACCTTTTGTTGTCTTCACTGGTATCCTCCCTAAACATGATGCTAAAATGAGGACAGAAAACAAGAGAAACTGTTATCAGTTGCCTAGCAACAGCATTTGAGGGTTAAACCACTTGAAAGCCAAGCATATTGTGTACGATTTCTCATATTGAAACCATGACCTCACAAGTTCCATTTGAGAATAGTGCCAATACCTCTATGAACCGGGTCTCTGGTTTGTTGCTCATTTGGTTTTTTGTGTTTGTTTCTCAGTGTAGTGTCAGAGGTCTTCGGAGAGGTGGGCGAGTTCACCTTTATCCACACCCTCACTGGCTGGATCCCAGAAATCAGCCCTATAAAGTAAGGTCTTCATTCGTCTTCTCTACTCTGCCTGTCTTCTGCATCTCTTGTTCTAAATGTTATCCATAAGTATACCCATTGATTGTGTCTTTTTAATGAGGTTGACATTCTCTCCCTTTGCTTTTAATTTTTCCCTCTCTGGAAAAAAAATAGTGAGAATAAAAGAGACTATTTAATCTGGTAGTTCATCACAATAAAGGCTGTGGCCCTAAATGCACTCACACATTCTGATAAGCTGTGAATTTTCCCCCTCTCATGTGTGCTATTTTATAAAGTATACCGTAGCAACGAGAGACGGGAGTGTATCTGTGTACTATAGTATGGAAAGTCACACTTTGGGAGAAAATGATTGAGGTCTAAAATGGAAACAAGGAGGTATATAATAAAGGGGGAGGAGAGGCAGTGTGCAGTGGAGAATCTCAGCTTGTCAGTGATGGAACTTTAATGGGGCAACAGTGTTTTGGAGTGGAGCTGGGGAGTGTTATTCTCTCTAGCTCAGCAGGTTAGCTGCTGTTAGTGGGTCGCCTGGGGAGTCTATCAACACGTACAGGCACTGAGCATAACCGTGTTTGTGTTTCAGATTGATTCGTGACACATGAGTTTGCAGCCTCATAAGCACGTATACACACACACACACACACACACACACACCCACACATGCATAGGATTTTACTTACAACATCTACTGCTGTTAACAAAAAAAGTACTATTTCTACCAATATTTTGGCTGGAAAAATAAAAATTAATGCTGTCTAGTTTATATCCTATTTGTTGTACTAGCTGGTTGCCATAAGAACCTGGGATAGTTGTTATTCTGGCTGACACTTAAGGCGTTTCTCAATACCAAGTACGCCAAGTTTGGACTTGTGCACTTGGGAGTTCGGACCTGGCAAGTTTGACTTGGGAGTACAAACTCCCAAAGACGGCTGCCATTGCAGCTGGTCTGTGAGAAATGCATTCTGGGATACCTGGCTGTCAGAAGTCCACACAAGTCACCTCCCGATGCATTCCCGATGGAACGGGCATTTGGACTGTACTTGGCTGGATGCGGACTTTGAATTGGAACAGTACTTGGACTACGACTGATGACGTTTCACAAGTCTGCAAGAACACAATTACAGGCAAGAATGCAGATTGAGAAACGCCTTTAGAATCAGCACAGAAGAGCCATTGTTGTAATTATGGCTGGGTATTGAGACTTGATACATTTAAGGTTTCAACCGAAATAACCCAGTACCAAGTAGCATCAAAACTTCTCCAGATGATACCTGCATTGATCCTTTTCAGCGTTGGTGGTCTGATCCTGGATCTTGCAGACCCCCTGCTGGATTGGCGACCCTTCTGTTGCTGTGCTTCTCTCAGCAGCGGCTAACATCCAACAATGAGCTGTTACACAGTCCCAACAAACTCACACCAACAATTAATCGGCTGGCCACGTTAATAATTGCTAGGTATATTAGCTGTGTGATGCTAACAGTTAGCCCTGTCACTGTGTCTGTCCAGGCAGACTATGACAACTGTCCCCAGAGTGGAGCTCACACTTCAGCAGCAGCTAGAACCCATAAAGTCTGTTGTGTGTTTAAGTCGAGTGCGGTATATTTGACAGTCGGCAGTTCAGCGTGCTGAGGTGCCACGTAAACATTTGAAAGTATGACCATGCTACACTAACCTGGAAATCCAGATGCCCTGCCCCTAGCAAATTCGAATTTGCACTGCACAGGGATCTGGCCCTGACGAGCAGAGCCCGCTGAATCGCCATCGGACCAATCAGAGTCTATCTGTCTGACAGAGGTGGGCTCTGGGTGGGCGTAACATGATGAGGACAGCGCTGCGCCGTAGGAGTCTAAAAATAAACAGCCAAGATGGTAGCTGCTGAAGGACCGCGTCCATTCAATTTAGCTTTGGAAGAAACGCTAAGCCTACTACACTTATCTTTTTCCTTGAGAGAGGAACAGAAGACTGCCCTAGAAGCCTTCGTTTCCAGGAAGGACGTTTTTGCCGTTTTGCCGATGGAATACGGCAAAAGCATAATATATCAGTTAGCCCCACTGGTCGGCAAACCAATGGGGCTAACTGCAATGAATACATCACCTTGTTTTTTGCTCTGATTGGCTATCGTGCTATCCGATTGCATGTAGCGGCANACTGGTCGGCAAACCAATGGGGCTAACTGCAATGAATACATCACCTTGTTTTTTGCTCTGATTGGCTATCGTGCTATCCGATTGCATGTAGCGGCATTCGATATGCCTCAGTTAGTGCCGCCCCTTGGGTAGGAGGGGTATATCGTGAGGGTCAGACTCAAAATCTTTCTAGATTTGAGTCTGGATTTCCAGGCTAATGCTACACACCGCTGGTTCCCAACTGGTCCAGACACAGGTTCTAGATTTCTCCTTTGTCATTACTTCAAGGTCAACCGAGTTAAGTAGATTCAGCATCATACTTGTGTTTGGCCATGTTGTTGAACTAATTTGCTGTCTCTGTTAAAGCAGCTGTGCGGAACTTTACGTTTTCGTTGATTATAGCGCCCTTTTTGGTCGAAGCGGTATGACACCCACAGCCTGGTGTTGTAAAATTCCGACTGCAGCCTTCGGCTTCATTCATAAAATCTCGACTGCAACCGGCAATTACCGCATGCATTTGTTTTGGAGAGCGAGAGGAAAATCATAAATGTTCTGGTGTAGCTCTGAATTTCTTAGAAACTGAGGACAACTGCCTGCTGTATATTTGTGTTCATGGTCACAGTCACAGATAATTTTGTGGTGTTTGTTGTAACGTTACTAGACAAAAGCGGTTCACATCAGCTAACGTTACATTTAGCTTGCTTATAACTTCCATGTCGTCATATATTGAAGTGAAACAACGTCTAACAAGTTGCGGTATATTCTCTAAATAAAAACAAAAATTCAATACCTGTCGATTAGGAAAAGGACCAACTCGGGATCAGTTTTAAAACCTTTCAAATCTCTCAGCCCGACCAAGGTTTACACTAGTTTGGGCTCGAGACCTGTCACTGTCCCGTTTAACCTTCTTCTGTTCTTTTTCTTGTAGATGGTGCTCCTTCTTTATCCGCCATGATATCGAAAGTACAACCAAGTCCTTATAGATACATCTGGTAAAACTGTTATGTGTTCAGCAATGTCCGTTGTGTACCGATTACTCGAAGAACACTCTCTGTAAACACAGCTCTTCTTCTTCTCTCAGTTTATTGGTGGATCGCAAACAACTTCCAGGTGCATACCACCACCTACTGTACAAGAGACTACTCCCTACTACATGTCATTTAGCCTGTTTCTTAAATCCTACTTGTAAACATGGCTCCTTCTTCTTCTGTGGTTTAACGGCTGTGGGCCGCTGCGGGCGTGCAGACTTACTTCCGCCTCCGGGTGCCGTATTCTGGTTTGCTGACTTCTGCTGTGTCCGACTCGAGACAGGCTACGCTAAATAGCCATATAGAGAAAGGCTTTTTTGTCGCTGTTGGGTTCAAATAAATATGCGGATCTTCAAGGGGGGGGGGGGTGATACGAACTAGGGACAGTTTTATGAATGGTAAAAAGTTCCGCACAGCTGCTTAAGTAGCTGTCTGTAAGTCACTCACTCTACAGTGGGAAACAGCACTTCAAAATAAAAGCTCTGTGCTGGAAATTCACTGTACTTAAAAATAAAGTGTGTTTTTTACAAACTTGACATGTTTGAGAGTCACTGGTGGTCCATTCAGAATGGATCCGAGACCCTCTTTTGGACTGTGACTCACCAATTGGGAACCACTGCTCCGTTGGTATTGGTATCATAACTTTTTAAAAAATGATATCCAGCATTAGTTGTTATCAAGTTCTATATTTTTTAAATTGGTCCATATTGTGCTCTGGTGCGTCATTATCAGCCACTGTCTGTACCTTCCACAACTAGTGAGCCAATTTGGAGGAACTATTTTTTGGGTTGCCTGATCCTCGAGATTCCCCCGCCCTCACTTGGAGGTAGCCCTACTAAAAACAGGAGAGGCACATGCTGTAATTCAAGCCAGATTTCAACCAATGGACAACAGAAACAAAGTGATGTCCTTCAAATAAAATAACATGACTCTCTACGTATCACACATAAAATGATACTCACCGATTCTCTGATACTAACTTGCTTCTCACCATGCTGTCTGCATAAGTGCACTGAGATGACCCTCAAATCTGGCATGGTAGGGAGGCTAGGAACCTGCTCCAACTTCATTCCTCACTGGTCTCTCCAATATGTTCAGTCATTTCTAGGAGGGTCAGTCTTCTTTCTAAAAGGTCTCTGTTTTTAATTTGCATTTCAATGTTTTTATGCTTTTTAAAGATATTTTGATGCATTATGTAAAGCACTTTGCATCGCCTATTTGTATGAAATGTGCTATACAACAACAAACCTAACCTTGCTTTCAGTAAAAAATATCATCCAACGAATGTGTTGAAGTAGAAATGAGGTTGTATTATGCACTTTTATTTTCAAGCGAGAAGGATATGCTGATGTAAGAACTGCAGCCTATGTATTGCAAATAGAGGGACAATGAATGCACAGCAGCAGGAACAGAAACTGCAGTAGGTTCAGGGTTAAGATGGAGTGCAGAAACAGTAGACTTCATCTGGTATTCGAGAAGTCGTGGCATTGTAAGTGTTGTTAGCTCAACAACAGATGTGACGACTCAAATCAGTGGCCTTGTGGTAGAGTGTCCGCCCTGAGACTGGGAGGTCGTGGGTTCGATCCCCGGCCGGGTCATACCAAAAACTATAAAAATGGGACCCATTGCCTCCCTGCTTGGCACTCAGCATCAGGGGTTGGAATTGGGGGGTTAGATCACCACATGATTCCCGAGCACGGCACCGCTGCTGCTCACCGCTCCCTCAGGGGATGGGTCAAATGCGGAGAACAAATTTCACACATTCAGGTGTGTGACAATCAGTGGAACTTTACCTTTACCTTTACCTTTACCATTAGTGTTTCTCCTCCAGCAAGTCTGTAATTTTGTATTGGACAAGCAGACAAATTCCAGACAAAGCTGACTCAAAAATGCAGTAAGCAATGCTAATTTTTCACCCCTCTTCTCAGGTCCGTATATCTTGGAAAAACCTGGGATTTCTTACAAGACACCATCCCCATGTTTACAAACCCAGATGAGAGTCCGCCGGAGACTAAGACTCAGACTGCAGATCCAGCTGCAGGGAGAGATTCCAGTTTCAGTGACGGCAAGAATCAGCTGCCTGAGCCAGAGAATAGTAAAGGTCTGAATTGTGCCACAGTCTCACACAAACACACACACAAAAACACAGAGAGGCATACATGCATACCCAGAAACATACATCTCAATTACACACTGTGCTTGCACATCTAATTGAGTGAGTCAATTAAATCAATCATTCATTAGAGTATGATCATTTGTATGCACATAACACTACAGCGTATTCATTAGTCAGTGCATTGTTTGAAAAATTATGTGTTGTGTGTGTGTGTGTGTGTATTCATGCAGTAGTCAGTGGTGGAAAACTAAGTACATTTACTCAAGTACTTAAGTACAGTTTTGACATACTTCTACTTACTGCTGCTGCTACTTTACTTGTATACACTACTCCACTACACGTACTTATTACTTATTACATTTATTTGACAGTTTTAATTACTGAACAGATTCAGATTAATGGCACAAATATAGTCCAAAAAACAAATGATGATGCATCATTACAGAGTAGGATGAAACTTTATTGATCCAAGGTGGAGATTTCACAAGCTACCCAGCCGTATGTAAAGTAATTAAAGTGAACTGAAGTGATACATTAATCCATTAGTAATTATAATCTGATTATACATATTGATTTGAAATGGGCCATTCTGCATAAATTAGTGCTTTTACTTTTGGTACTTTAAGTGTATTTGGATGCTAGTGCTTTTGCTGAAGTATAATTTCGAATGCAAGGCTTCTTTACTGATGTATTACTACTCTGACTTGAGTGGAAGATCAAAGTACGTCTTGCACCACTGGCAGTACTGTATATTTATATGTATGCGAATGCACAGTCTGTGTGTAAATCTCTGTTTTCCTCCCGCTGCATCCATAATTCAGCTACTACAGAGCATGACAATGAATATTTAATTGTCGTACAGAAACTCGCACTTATCAATGATTACATTCTCATATAGCAGTAATAACACTGACACCTTTACGACTGGGAAACACTCCAGGCTTAAGTTCACTACCATGCCATGTAGCAATTTTCTTCAGCTGCCTCTTTCCTGTTGTTTCAAGCATCACTTCCTGTTTTCCCGAGCTCATGTATTATGGAGCGCGTGGAGGGTTAATGCGTGTATGGCGGACTATAAATAAACCAGCAGAGGGAGCAGTGGCAGGGTGAATTATTTGGTGTTCCAGCAGGGCAGAAGAGCGTCCCAAGTCAAATGTGGTTATGTGATGAATGCAGGATTGAAACATGTCTTCAGAAAAGAGCGTGTGGCTTGGAGTTGTTTCAGGTCATCGACAGTAAAAGTCTTCATTAAGGTTGTGCAGTTAATTGCTAGAAGACTTTGTAATTGCAATACAACACATTAGAGGTATAAACTCATTTAAAAACATGACACATTTGTGAATATTGGGCCGCAGTATGAATTAAAGCCCCTCTGTCTTGCTCTTACCCACAGTAATCTGTTCCTTGGTCTCTCCTACAGTTGCACTTGTTTACAGTAATTAAAGTGTTGGGTATTACCAGCATAATGACATATAGGCCTAGAGTGGTATTACATTTATCCTTTAGGGAAATGCATCATGTACACGCATGCAAAAACAAATAAAAAAATCCCTACACGTTCTTTCTCTCCCACTGCTTTGGCGCCCGCAGTAGCATTCCATTGAAATGCAGAAATTGAAATGCATAAAGCACGACGCAGTGTGAGAACCACTTCTCTGTTCAATTCTTAATGTGTAGCCTTTATATTAGTCTCGCAGTGCTGCCATCTCTCTTCACCACGGTCCTCCAAATTGATTTTCCATGTCTCCTGGCACATGTGCTCCGTATACAATTTACTCTAAGATGCACCATAGGGGGCAGGGCCATCCATAGATAACCTAGATAACTCTCTTGTCGCCGTATTTATACCTGTGGAGGCCAAGAGTGCTTTCATGTCTGAAATGTAATGTTTTATTGTCTTCATCGTGTTTAATGACAGTCAATTGATCATTTCAGTCTCTTAATAGGCTGTACTGTGTAGTGATAGAGTATTTTTTGTGTGTCCATAGTGTGACTTTGCAAATGCCTGTTGGCTTTACCTGAACTGATGTCAGTCTTCTTTGTGTGTGATTCTCAGGTGCCCCCAAGGTAGTGGTGTGTGCCAGCTACTACCCTTTACAGCCACAAAACAATTCCTTTGGGTTTGGACAAATGGTAGGTCTTCTCTCTATCCCTCCTCCCTTGCTGGCTACGCATGCACTTGCTCATTCAGTACAGGTTTTGTACTTCAGTCACACCGTAACGAGACACATTTGCATCCATGAAAATTAGATTTCACCTTCTGTAGATTGCACTCAGATCTTCATTACAGATTTGGAAGCCTAAAATAGAGAGATTCACATTCTGATGCAAATACTACATAGTCTGGATGCAATCTGGCCAGAATGTCTACATGAGCATTTTAAATATGTGGAGAGGAGGAGGAAACTCAACCTCTGATGTTAGGAGTTGGATCAATGACCTACGCAGTACAAATGGTACACTTTAAAGCAGCTCTATACGATATTCAGATCACTATTTGCTATGTAAAGATAGCGTGAAGTAGTGGTGTCCTTTGTCCATTGTCACCTCACAGCAAGAGGGCTCCTGGTTCAAACCTGGTGTGGGGGGTTTGAGACTGGGGTGAGGGAGCCCCTCAGTGCGGAGTTTGTATGTTCTCCCCATGTCAGTGTGGGTTTTCCCTGGTGTACTCTGTCCAAAGACATGCAGGTTAGCTGGTGACTCTAAATTGTCCATAGGTGTGAATGTGAGTGTGAATGGTTGACTGTCTCTATGTGTCAGCCCTGTGATAGTCTGGAGACCTGTCCAGGGTGTACTCCGCCTCTCGCCCAATACCAGCTTGGATAGGGACCCCCCCCGTAGTCCCCAACAGGATAAGTGGCTACAGAAAATGAATGAATGAATACCTTTGTGTGTGTTGTAGTCCGAGCTTCTTTGTTGGTTGTTGTGGTGAGCCAGTTCGGCTACATGTGCATGTTTGTGCATATCTGTATCCCAATGGTTAGCTAATCGCCACCACTCTGCACTGAGCTTATATGACGGTTACCACTGATAACGGCATGGTGTTGTCATGGAGGTGTAGTGCCCAACCTCTGGTTCCCTTCCCAAGTTAACACCGTTAGCTTTGTCGGCGCTGTCACTGTTGTTTAGCGCTGTTTATGGGATTACCAACATTTGCCAGCCACCTCCATGTTGAGAACTGTACTCGTACTCGTCGTCCTCTGCTTATCCGGGTCCAGATCGCGGGGGCAGCAGCCTCAGCAAAGAAGCCCAGACAGTCTTCTCCCCACCCACTTCCGTCAGCTCTTCCAAGGGAACCCTGAGGCGTTCCCAGGCCAGCCAAGCGACGTAATCCCTCCAGGGGGTCTCCAGGAGGTCTCCTCCCGGTTGGACATGCCCGAAACACCTCCCAAGGGAGGCGTCCGGAAGGCATCCTTACCAGATGCCCGAACCACCTCAACTGGCTCCTCTCGATGTGGAGGAGCAGCGGCTCTATTTCGAGTCACTCCCAGATGTCCGAGCTCCTCACCCTATCTCTAAGGCTGAGCCCAGCCACCCTGCAGAGGAAGCTAATTTTGGCTGCATGTACTCGCGATTTCGTTCTATCGGTCACTACCCAGAGCTCGTGACCATAGGTGAGTGTTTGGAACGTAGATCGACCAGTAAATAGAGAGCTTCGCTTTCTGGCTAAGCTCCCTCTTCACCACCGGTTAAGCGCCTGCATCACTGCTGATGCCTCCCCAATCCACCTGTCAATCTCCCGCTCCATCCTACCCTCACTCGTGAACAAGATCCCGAGATAATTAAACTGCTCCACCTGATGCAGGACCTCCCCTCCGACCTGGAGTGGGCACGCCACCCTTTTCTGGCTGAGGACCATGGCCTCAGACTTGGAAGTGCTGATCCTCCAGGTCACAAAGTTTCTCATTTTACACCTAAACGGTACACTAAAGTACGTTTCTGAAAACAGCTGAGGTGAGAAATGGGCAATGCAGTAACAGAATCTTGAAACATATTTGATCAGAGCAGCCTAGTTTGACAATTTGACCATAGTTCACAGAGTGACTGAAATGAAACAGCTGCTTTAGAGACTTCTTATACTGTGCCATGGTAGATTTTTAGCAGGTGCCATCAGAGGCAGTTGAAAGAAGAGGAGGGACATGCTTTTTTTCCACAGATTATCTGTCTCATGCACTACTTTCAGAATTGAATGACAGTATCAAATATTACAAAAAATTATTTTCAAAAAGTTAACAACTGTAACTTTAACTCACACATAATAATGATTTTACCCTAAATGTGAAACATGTAATTGTATTTCAATGCTTATTATAATATACACTGTCTTAGTCACCTCTGTTACAGAGCACAGTAATGTGAAAAATGTACTGAAGCCCCAAAGTAATAGTGGGTGGTGGAGATGAAACACAACAGTGCCTGTGACCTGGGGGCATGGTGTGTTCTATTTGGATGCTTTGCCTCAACAGGCTTCACTTGTTTTATTATTTACGCCCATACTACACAGGGCTAATTGGTGGACAGGATTTTGCTTTGTTAGAGGTGTTGTATCACCTCCACTCTGTGATCATAGGTAGAACCCCCTTTTTAAAGTTAGACCTGATTTACCTGTAGAGCTGGTTACAGGTGACAGTAATCTCAGTATGGGAGAATAATTTTTAAAATGAATACTGCATGTGTGCTTATTTCTGTGCATTTGTCTCTCTGCTGGCTCACAGGCTAATTCCTCAGAGTATCTCCGTCAGTACGGTCTCTCATTGCTGCACAGCCACATTGTCCTGCTGACCAGAACCCGGGCATGCCAGCTGGAGGCACCACCCAGACCTCAACCTGTGCCCAGATGGAAACTCATCCGCCAGCGGAAGGAGATCGTGGTCACAGATGAGCCACGGAGTACGTGAGAGACAGAAAAGGAGGCAGGAAATAAAAAATGTTAAAATTAAGTTTAAAAACAAAAAGGTGGTGAAGGGGGGGACCAGGAGGAGGATGCAGGGGAGGATATCAAACAGACAGAAAAGCACAAATTATGCGATAGAGTGTAGGTGAATGTCATAAATAAATATGACTAGAAAGAGAAGCGAGTGCTAATGCAGGAGATTTAGAAGCTGCAGTACAGAGGGCACACAGTACCGCATGCTGAAATGAAAAAGGGAGGAGGATAGCTACAATATTTCTGTAATGAAAATAGCTGCTGGCTCGGGCATATCTGACATCAGCTGATCTCTGGGTGAAACAGAAAATGCAGCAAAAAGAGTCAGAGTGTGAAAAAGCAGTGCTGGAATGATGTGTGAGATTTTTTTTTTCCCTTTTCTGTTTTTTTGCAGAGCCTCCTGTGTCAAAACCAGAGCGGTTCATTGAGGTTGCCAGCCCTTTTCTCTCCTACCGTGTCAAGAGCAGCGCTGGCCCGATCCTGGAGCTGTGTGTACACTTAAATGATCTAAAACTGGGAAATGAAATGAGATGAGTCTTTTCTGTCGTCCTGCTCTTTTTACTGTATCACATTGCTTAAAAATTATTTCACTTTACTCTAACTAACCTTCTGCTGTAGAGGAAGAAAGGCAAGAAACAACTTTCATCTGAGGATCAAAAAAATTACACTAATAGTGATCACATTTCGCCCGTCCAGGCGTGTTACGTTATGTTACGTTACGGCGTGTTTTATCTCCTAACAGCATCGTCTACATATGGCATGTGTTCTGTTGACCCATATTTTCTCCAAAATCCAAAATATTTCCACACTGCTGATTTATTCTCGAGTAAATAACATTATCTTCATCATCTTTCTCTCGGCTGTTTGACATCTGCCTGCCGCTGTTTGACGGTGACAGACTTTGAAAACAAAAGCGTAACCTAAAGATGATGATATGGGTCGATATTTTCACTTTGCACGGATGACATTGGATCATTGATCACTGAATGGATATATCGATCCAGATCAATGGATCGATACACCCATACTTCTTATTGCACCTCCATATCCGCCACCCCCATTCTCCCTGTGACATAAGACAATGCATATAGCAGTTGAAAAAGTCAAACTATGTTGGCTTTTTTCCTCTTCTATACCTTTGTGCTATGACCCTACAATGTCATAAAGATGTATTAAAAGAAATCACAGATCAAAGCAGGGTTATGGTTGCAATGCTGTTGCTTTTGGTGTTTATAATGTGACAAGCATGACTCACGTGTGGATGATCCGGTGTATTGCTTCTAAATGTGTTGCCATGCGATGAGATGCATGTATGTCATGATTGTGATATAATGAATGTGCTATGTGCCCACATAACATGTGGCATGGATATGTGTCTTTGTGTGTCAGCAAGGCCAAGCAGAACGCTCAGAGGAAACGTTCCTACGGATCCCCTCTAGTGTCCATTGCTGAGAGAGAGGAGACTGAATGGCGAGAAAGCCTTGAGCCTGACGCAGCTGAACGCACCACTAACTCACCAAACAGCACAACAGACAAAACAGAGGTAAACAGAATGACTGTATGCTTGGGCACAGAGTTGATTTATACGTTCAGCGTGTGTGTTTTAATATCGTACAGAGCATTTTGTTGTTGCCGCATGGGGGAAACCACTGTAAACAATATATGAATGAATAGGTACATACTTTGAAACATGTCTGCAGGATGAGTTTAAGTAGGTGTGATGATCTGTGAAGCCCAGTATAATATATCCGTCCAACAGCTAAGATGGTAGCAGCTGTCTGCAAAATTTTGTTGCCTCTTTTTTTGTTATTTTTCCCTCCCTCACCCCTCTGTCTACCCTGTAAGTATGCAGTTGAAGGCTCATCAGAGTAGCTGTGTGTCAGTGACAACAAGGCTACCATCCCCCAGTCTCAAAGTCACTTCTGTTGTCTCCCAGCCAGGCCACCACTGACCAGGGGCACATCTGCACTAAAGAGAGAACCAGTGAGGGAAGGGAGAAGCGGAGGGAGGGGTGGTTCAGAGCAGCAGAGAGACACACACAGAGACAAGGATAGAAACAAAGACAGAGAGGAATAAAAAAAGGGGGACAACTGTGCAGAATAAGAAAAAAGGGGACTGAAAAATGAAAAGAAAGTGACAGCTGGACAGGGAGAGATGAAAGCGGAGCAGGAAACAGGGAGACGGGGAAGAGAGAATCTCTGGTGTGTGATGGTGGCGAATGGGGCGCGTGGGTTTCATACAGGGAGAGGTCGTGTACTGCGCTGATGAAAAAAGCAGTGCAATTAGATGGTGAGCCATCAGTGTCTGCGTCTCCTGGGGGGTTCATTATTACACTTCACTCCTAGCATACAGAGAAAAAATAGAGTTCATATTAATCGCCCTCTTGTGTAACTGTGACCAGTTATAGAGTGGTTAGGCTAGGGCAGTATGGACACGCTAATTTGATGTGTCGTTTGATGTGTGTGTGTGTGTGTGTGTGTGCACGCAGTCTTGTGGATTGGTTTGTGTATGTGTCATATGTGTGCCACATTTTTACTCAGCGTGTGTTCCCGCTCTTCACAAGCACGTGGTAGGTCACGTGCTGTGGGGACAGTACACAAGGGAGAAGGATTTTTTTTTTTTTTTGCTGTTGTGACCCCTCCCTCTGTTTCTGTCAACTTTGGTCAACAGTATTAACCTCTGTGCCTCGCTCCTAGAATATAAGATGCTGGTGTCACATGATGTCCCTAAGACCCTCAATGGCCTACTCACTCAGAAGAATTAAATCCCAGTGTAACAGAGCTGTTTTAACCTCTTGGTATGTGGTTAATCACTAAATTACCAAAGCCCCTATGGTTTCAGTTTTTGCCTACTATACACGAAAAAACTTTGAAAAAACTTTTTAAAGATACCACATCTAATGACAATCTGACTTTTTTAGTCACACACTAAGATTTTGCAAAGACTAGGGATCTTTCAGGCTCACTGTTTGCAACTCTGCAACTAGATTCCTTTTGAGATTGTTCCCCATCCTGCTCCCAGTGGAAAATATTACACCAAATATGACATATTAACACAGGGTGTCTATGGGTCCTTAAGAAGTCTTAAAATGGGGTGTCGGTAGCGTAGTGGATAGTGCCGGTGCACAGAGGCGATGCTTTGCTGTGGCGGTCACAGGTTTGATTCCGGTTTGCAACCCTTTGCTGCATGTCATCCCCCCACTCTCTCTCTCTCCCCCCATGTCATACTGTTGTGTCAATTAAAGGCAAAAAGCCCAAAAAATAATCTTAAAAGAACCCCAAAAAAACAGAAGTCTTAAAAAGTCTTAAATTGTTTTAAATTCAGATTCGATGGGTCTTAAATATTTTTGCTCACATTACCTTGAAAATTTCTCCAGCCTGACAGACCCAATGCTTGTTTATAATCACTGGAGAGACTGAAAAAAAAAAAAAAAAATTAAATAAATCACGTGGTATTTCAGTGAATATTGTGATAATTAATAGCATTTTTGACAGCGATGACATTTTGTTTTCTTTTTTCATTAAACACATTAAACTTAAACTCATCCAATAGTTTACTTGGGAAGTGTACTTGTCACAAACACACATACTTTGGTCTTACATTTCATATAAGGTGATATTAAAAAGGTCTTTAAAAGTCTTCAATTTAACTTGGTTATGTCGGTAGACCCCCTGTAACAATTACATATATTTTCGCATAACTCTTAAAACGTATTATATAAAAAGCATAATATATTGACAGTAGTATTATCCATTTGGCATCAGTATAATCCATACAGATAAACAGTATTTGTTGTCATGTCGTCTAAAAATAGACGACATGACATTCCTCAAAAGTGAGGCCAATACATCGTGATCGCCCCCTGGTGACTGTCTGCATAACCCCCCACCCCCTTCATGTTAGCAGTTGGGATATCAGACAAACTAAAAACTCAAAGTAACCATCGAATAAATTTTTTTGTTTGGATTTTGTTGCCTTTTCTCGCCACAAGCCTCCGTTGGGTAACTGCACTATTTTAGTGGGAGGAGACTGTGGGAATGAGAGACGAACTGTTTCAAAAATGACAATTCCTCACTAAAGTAAGTGCTGGTTGGTGGATCAGATAAATGCAAAATTAAACATCAACCCTTGTTCATTCCACAACTCCACCAGTTTCTCCTCCTTTACCAAAGTACAAGAGAACCAAGCCTTATTCATGTTCTTGTCTCCCCAGAGTCCCCTCCATGTTTACTGTCTACCCTGTTTGCTGCTTCTTGTTTGGTGCTGGACAGAGCACACCTAGTCATAACTATTTGCATGAGCCAATATTAAAAACTTGTGATAACATTAAACAACAATGGACTTAAGAAAGCTCAGATTGAGTACTGTGACAACCTTACATCAAATGTTGGAGATCACGGGAGTGTGCACCCACTAAATGTAAAACTCTTGTGATTTTATTACTTTGGCACATTACTCATGCCAGAAAACTACACTCCCAAATGTCTAGTCCATAGACTATGCAAGGGCGCAGTAGCAGATCCTGATATGGGCCGAATGGACTTTTGCCCAGGGCGCCATTTATGCTAGAACTGCCACTGCAAGGGGTCGTACATATGCCATGTTTTTTGCGCCCTCACATTTTACATCTGTCCCACGGATAATATGATCACACACTTATAAACAGTGCCTGGAAGAGAATCAGCTCTGCACTCATGATTTCAGGTAAATAGGCTATGATACAGTACGTGTCAATGTTGCTTAGCAACCTCAAACACAACCTACAGCTGCGCTCTTGAAATCTGGCTCAAAAAAGGCACAAAAGTAACGCCCAGTGCCCGACCTCGTGTTTTCCAAGCGGGTACAGATGCGGCATGTCTTTAACCCCCCCTTAAGATGGACAATGCGTTTTCACTTGACTCAACTGTACAATATTGGAGCCAAAATATCTCGGCTACAGCAGCTGCCGTCTTGCGCTGGTGATGTCATCTGGAGCCAGAGTCTGCGCAGTAGCAATCTCTGCGATGTGAAGTTCCCATCAGTACACCCATCTGACCAATCATGAGTAGTGTCACTGATTGCGAGCACACTGATTGGCACACATACCTGCCAATCTATGATGTCAGCTAACTAATTAGCGGCAAACTTGAACGAAAGATGAACAGTTGAACATTCGTCAGCGTGATAAGAACTACCTGAATTGACAGAAACCATCTTTGGGAAAAATTTATTCCATGGTTACTTGGTTTTTAGTTTGTCTGATGTCCTAACTGCTAACATGGGGGGGGGGGGGGGGGGGGGGGGGGGGGCGGGGGGGGGGGGGGGGGGGGGGGGGGGGGGGGGGGGGGGGTTATGCAGCCAGTCACCAGGGGGCGATCACGATGTTCTGGCATCACTTTTGAGGAGCTGTCATGTTGTCTATTTTTATTAAACAGCCTATGGTCTATTCTTGACTCTAAGATCAACGCATATGTGAATAGCCACAAAGAAATCTTTAACTTGATTTTATTTGACATGTTTCATGTATGTATTTGGGGGTAGACTTCAGGGGAAAATGTGAAATATGGAGACAGTCTCTTGGAGAGCAAAGACTTAACTCTGGCTGTGTAAAATAAAGTCCCATGAAGTGTGGGATTAAAGAAACGCACCCTCTTCCACCCATCAGCCCATGACTGTGATTTGATCACGGGAAAAAAATGTCTCTCTCCTCCGACAGCAGCAACTTAAACTCCCAGGAGCCTTGTGTGTAAGATCCATCACTCTCAATGTCCTCTTACTGTACACAGGTAAGAGATCTAATAAATAGCATGCTGTGGGTGGACGGGACACACCATGCCTTAGAGCTGGACTCAAAGTTTCACACACTCTTGCGACAACACACACACATGCGTTTACATGTTTTTGCTGCCGTGAAAGTGTTGCTATAGAGGTGGAGAGGAGGTCAAGTGTACCTCCCTATCACAATGCCTCTTTCCGTCTGTCTGGGTCTCCGAGTACTTATTCAGATAAGTGATGACTCACACACACAGACACACACACTCACTCTGACTCATCGGAGAGTCTTGGCTGGGGTTGCTTTGAAGTTACACGACACAAAGCCATAATTCTTATTCAGAGTAGAGTATACTGTTGGACACTCACCAGGGTTTTTCCTCAAGGGAACATTATTTGAGAGAAGAGCTTCAAATGAAAGGGCCTGGAGGAAGGCTCGCTCATATGAAACAGGTGTGCTGCTTCTCGCACTTGAATCCAGCTTTGTTATTGAAGCAGCAGACGGCGATGCCCTTTTCCCAGACACACCATTTTGTGCCTTGATCGGACAGAAGAACGTTTTATTTGAAGGATTTGTTAATGACTCATTAGCTGTATGTCTTTATTGTGTCGGGCAGACGAGCATGAAATCAGAGCTGTTGAGTAATTCCCCTCCAAGTAAAGTAACATGCTAAACAACATAATAACCCCTCGTCTGTCACTGACAGTCGAAGTAAATTAGAGCTGGTATTCCCTGGTGGTGCTTTTAGCAGGAGAGGAGCAGCCCTTGTCACATTAAACCGCGTCTCGTGTCCCGTGTTGTTCGGCGAGAACAGTGCAACACCACAGCTGGCATGGAATCACTAGAGGGCGGAGGCGTATCTCTGGCAGTGTTACTCTATCAGCAACTCACTGCTCATGCCTCTCTAACTCTGTCTCTCTGTCCCTTTAGGTTACTGCAGAGGACAGAGGGAAGGACGATGATGACATCTCCAATGGTAAAAGCTGTTCCTCTTTAATGCTGGGTCCCTCATTCATATAGAGAATAACCTGCACTGTATCTGTGCCTTAACTGGAGTCACATATCAGGCTTCCAGAATGGACAGGTGCCCATTAATTCAGCTTTATTGGAAATGATGGATGTTCAAATAAACACAAGAAGTTTGTGCTGTAGAGAAAGGATCAACACTCAGTGAAAAACCTAAGCCCTATGATAAGCTAATATGGCAAGGCTTAACTATAAAACCAATGAGCAGTGATAACTAGCATGTCTTTGGGGTCATCGGGTGGAAACCTCCTTTCACCAGTGTTTCGTCTAGTTGGTCCCACGACACCTCCAGGAGGCTAGACAGTGATCTCTAGCATCCCAGAGACACTCCCCTAATGCCAGGTCTCACTGCTCCCCTCCCCGCACCAACCCAATAACCTCCTTTACCTTACTTACACATGGCTTTCTCAGCCCAAACAGCACTGCCACCTTCAACCAAACCCAGGCTCCGTACATGCGAGCTCTAGGTAGAAGCAGGGCTGATACTACCTTTCCTAGCACATTCACCACACTCTATTTCACACGCTACATAGCATAACTACAATATAAGCTAAAGTTAAAGGAGCTAAATAAACTTACAGGATCAGCAAACACACTTACCTTGCCGCATGGCCTCAAACAAAATGGATTCAAATAGGCCACTCCCACACTTAAATAAACTTCCTCTTCCTGGACTTCCTCCTTACCTACACATGGCTCTCTCAGCCCAAACAGCACTGCCATCTTCAACCAAACCCAGGCTCCGTACATGCAAGCTCTAGGTAGAAGCAGGGCTGATACTACCTTTCCTAGCATATTCACCATACTCTATTTGACACGCTACATAGCATAACTACAATATAAGCTAAAGTTAAAGGAGCTAAATAAACTTACAGGATCAGCAAGCACACTCATCTTGCCGCATGGCCTCAAACAAAATGGATTCAAATAGGCCACTCCCACACTTAACTACTTCCTCTTCCTGGATTTCCTCCTGAGAGGAAGTGGATCTCTCCACCTGATCTCAAGGAGTTAGGTGCCCTGTTTAGTAGTTCCCCCTGCTGGCCCCCAACTGACATTACTTCTTCTCTTATAGATGAACTGGCTACATTTAATTGCTTCATCTGACATTTCCCTCACTGTCTTCTTCAAACTCTGTCCCCGCACTCCGAGTTCCCCCAGGAGTGAGACAGCTGATCTTGCTATGAATCCCCTACACCCCACTTCCACTGGACAAATCCTAGTCTTCCATCCTCGCTGCTCAGCTTCTGCTCCTAAGTCTGCATATCTAAGCTTTTTTCTTTCATAGGCTTCTTCCACTGAGTCTTCCCAAGGAACTGTCAGCTCAATGAAATAAACTATGTGTATGATGTAGTTAAAGGTCTTTGTTATTGGTTGACTTGAACAGCATCTGTGCAGTGTAGTCCAATTAATGTGATTACAAGTATTTCCATCTCTCGCCTCCACTCCCTCCATCTTTCTCTTGTTCTGTGCTTCCGTCAGTTGGCCAAGACACTTTGAAGGAGATGGGACTGTAATTATGTCTTATGACAACTAGCCAATTCACTGCCTTCTCTCTGCCCCCGTTTAGTTGCTTAGTAACACCTGCAGTTTGAGTTAGCGGACCACCATTGCTCAGCAGCAGAGACACTGGCCCTCGCCGCCTCAGCTTTCTGATCAGACTTCTCGCTTTGAGAAGAGCCTGGGGGCAGAGCAACTCTGTGTGTGTATGTGTGTGTGTTTTTTGGGGTGGAGTGTGTGTCTGTGTGCACACGTCTATGACTTTGCTCTGCATGCATTGAGATAGTGGGAGTCAGTGAGTGGGAGTATGGATGTGCATGTGTGCTTACACTATGCCATTATGTGGGAGTTTGGCCAATTCGGCTCACTGTGTTTAAGATAATGATTTGAGTCTCAGATAACTTGCTATGAGTCACAAGAGGAAAGGCATTTTGTTACTCGCAGTATTTTGCAATGGGAGATTTCAGAGGCAATATCTGTTTTGTGGCATAAAAAAGCCCCAGTCAACTCGGCTGCTACTCAGCTTTATAAGGACATGTTTTTCCCAGACTGAGAAGCTGCACATTTGCATTAGCAATAATGGGTGTTACAAAATAAAATCTATTAGCTAGGCATTGGTTTACTGCAAACTTATTACCTCACATCAAAATTCTAATCCAACAAAATGATTATAAAAACATCATTAATCACGAATTCTGTCAAACTAAAGAGCGGACTTTGAATCTCTCTACCAGAGCGGCCCCAAACTTCATTGGAGGAGCCTGTAACTGAGGAACCCGCCGCTATTGTCACACCCATCCTGCAGGAGACCTGGGTGGACGTAGATGACTTTGCTAAATGCTTTCAGTGAGACACATGCACACACAGACACACATACATACTTCTGTACTGCAAACATACTGTACAAGGGGCCTAAAAGATAAAGATTATACTGTAATTGCTCTTATTAACTAAACTAAAAATAACTGACATTTATTCGTGTTCCTCTTCCAGGACTCTCTGGGTGTTCCATAAGCCAGAGATGTACCCACACAATATCCAGACATCTCATTTTAAGGTACAGTATGTATCATATAATGACCCAGTGACTTGTTTCTGCATGTTCAGTTTCCAAAGCTGGTACTTTTCATTAATTTTCACCAGCATTGGATATATTTTTTATTAATTTTGCTGTTATTTCCATAGAGCACTGTGTTGTCCAAAACTGCAGCGGGCACCAACTGTACTGGATCATCTACACACTTTCTTACCGCTGGATCCGTCCCTGTGACGTCTGCTGTAGCAAGCCCTGAAGTACACACATGCAGACACACAGAAACACATATGCAGCACAAATTTTACATGAGCACATAAATTGCCGTGTGTGATTCAACCTGATACATACAAACATACATTTTACCTACTAATGAAGCTTGAAAGTATGCTCTACAGCAGTGGCTCCCAACTGGTGGATCATGGTCCAAAAGTGTTTCACGGGTCCTTTCTGAATGGCCCGCAAGTGACTCACAAACGTGTTTGTAAAAAACACATTTTATTTTTAATTTCTCACACAGAGCTTTTATTTTCAAGAGCCATTTCCTGCTGTTGAGTGCGTAACTAATGGACAACTACGTGACAGAGACCGCAAACTAGCTCAACGACATGGCCAAATGCAAGTATGACGCTGAATGTATTACACTGTGTGGCCATTAAACTGATGACTAAGGAGAAATCTGGACCCCATGGCTGGACCAGTTGGGAACCACTGCTCTACACAAATATACAGTTATTGTTTGTAAACACAATGTTCGAACTTGGGCCTTCCTCCCTGCACGATGTACACTGCAAAGTGAAAGTTAAATTTGTTGTAATAGAATAGTTCACACTATAGCAAACTAACTACTGTAGGCTAACTGCTGTCACCTACCTCTTCAACAGAAAACAGGCCAACTCCATGTCGCTCTTCATCCTCTCCGTCAGTGTGTAACAGTCAAAGCCAACCCTAGATTCACTCTCGTTTTGGAACGAGCTTTGTTTGCTTGGTGTTTCACTTACTATATTTCTTTTTTTGGTGGTTTCCCTGTGATGTTTGTACCTTCCTCTTCAATGCCTGCTGCTGCTACCTCACTGCTACCTTTTTTCGAAAGTCCCGACCTCACCTGTGTGTTGTTTTTGGCTGAGGGCTGCCTGCACGCCCAAAAAGGTTCTGACCACAGGAAAATAAGGAGAAAGTAAGGAAACACACACAGAAGGCAGAGTAGCTTCAGATAAAAGCACCATCGCACACTTCTAGTGGGTCATAAGTGATGACTGAGAGGGATTACTCTTCTGTCAGCTTGTACATTGTTTTTTTAGGAAAATACTATATAGTATACTTTTCAAGGTGCCCTGTGGAGATTTCTTGTAAACAAACAGAAGTTATATTTTGTCACAGTCGTCTTCTACCCTGCCTTTGATGGCATGCTGCTGCTTATTTTGGTGTTTCTAGCCACTTGTAGATCAGTGGAAGAGTCTAAACCCACTGACAGGTTTGTGTATCGCTTCATTTAAGTGTGTGCAAGCATGGATGCATCCTCATGCATATGAATGTTCTGCAACGTCGTAAAAACCTGCCAGTTCACACCAATGCAACTAGATGAGATGGTGTATCATCTCTATGCAACATTCCAAACAGTTTTGTCTTGTCACGAATGATTGGTCTGAACTTGGCTTTAGAATGAGTCGTTTATATCTATAAAAGGATCGGGGCCTCTTACACAGAGTCTGCCATGTTGCTCTACAGTAGCCCAGAACAGACAAACCAAACCCTGGCTCTTGTCAGGGCCATTCAGGTTTCAGCTCTGCAAATTCACTGCTAGATGCCACTAAATCCTGCACCTTTAAGGTCTACTTACCAAAGTTTTCCAAAGCTTTTACTTGCATCTCACAGGCTTAATCAGCAGATGGATTTTGCTCAGTTGTCATGGCGATGGCTCTGTGGAACTTTGGTCACATGTTACAGTAAGTGGGGAGATCATAGCTCATGTCGCTTTTAAAAAAGACACAGAAACATCTGTGGCATCTGGTAAAAGCTGATCAGTGGACCTTGAGTTAAGACTGTTTTGTCAAACTGCTATTTCCACGGCCAAAAAAGAGCCATGCATAAAAGACTGACAGAAGGTTTGCTGCCATAACATTCTGTGGGAGTCTGTTTCAGAGTATAATGCCACAGCAGAAGGCACAGGTCATTTACCTGAGGAACAAAAGAATCATTAGCTTCCTTAGGGTTCAGCAGCTCACAGATATCTACTGACTGCAAGCTGTGCAAAGTAATGGAGAGAATCTTAGAAGACATCGTAAATTTATTCACAATCTGCTTCACTGAGGCCAGATTTGGTGTCTGGTGAAAGTAGTTCTTGGCTTATGCGAGGTGTTAGTGCCCCTTGTCTGTCTGCAGAAAGTCATGAATCTGTAAAGTTGTCTAAGTAGACTGTGTCATGATGTATGCATCACATATATAGCTCTGAAGTTGTCTGAGTGTGTGTGTGTGTGTAGTGCAGGTTTTAGTCTAAACTTTTTTCTGTAAGTGTGTCTGTGTGTGTAGACTGCTGAGTCTGCTTGTCACCCCGGACACGTATACATTCTCTCCCTCTTCTCTTGTTCTCTATCTGTCTCTTTTGCCCCTCTCTTTGTCTCCTGTTTTGTCTTTCTCGCTGTCTTTCTCAACGGCTGCTTTTTTCTTACATGACTAAATTCACTGTCTTGGCCTCTCTTATTCAGGTGCCACCTTAAATTGGTCTTCAACTCACTCAGCTCTTTTGTATCTCCTCTTATTTCTTCCACTTACCTCCCTGTCTTTTTTTCCTCTTCCTCTGTTCTCCACCTCGCACTAAGCTATCCTTCTATCAGTTTTTTCCATCACCCCTTCCTACAGTTTTCTGCTCCTGCTCTCTTTTGCTTCTTCATTTCCTTGTCTGCCTTTATACTGATAACTAAGGCCAGTGTGTGTGTGTGTGTGTGTGTGTGTGTGTGTGTGTGTGTGTATCCTCTCACCCAGTGTCCAGAGGTGAGAAGCACTCACTACCTGTGTGTGGACAGCCTGCAACCTCCCCAGATTGTCATCGGCTTCTCTGCTCTGCTCCTCTGGGGAGATACTGCTGAGGAGAGTAAGGATTTATACACACACACACACGCACACACGCACACGCACACACACACACACACACAGATTCTCAGATACAAAAGGATTTTCTGAATCAAGCACTGTAAGGAGCTTGGCGCACGTCTCTGACAGCAATTATAGCTCTCCATCTAAGCATGCACAAGCCCTACAGTATCACCTGTTTGGGATATACAGAGTATGTTAACATGCCTAAAAATGTATGAACATTTCATGACTGTGACCTACTGTGTTTCTAATACTTCACTGTGGTGTGTGACCGATCACATTTTCTCTGCTCTGCCTCACCTCATAGGAAAGGAGATGTCAGCAGCATGTAGGCCTGCACTGCTCACCGCTCAGCCCCACTCCTGCAAAAGCCTGCGGTCTCAGCTGCCAGTTCTCACCATCAAGACCACCTCCTCAAAGGCAGCCATGCTTAACTTACCCCCAGGGTAGGACGGCATTAATGAATGCTGAGAACTGTGTACTGTATTGATCGAAATTAAAAGCTTAGATCAAGTTCACGAGCAGATCAGGATGTCACAAATCTGTGTTCCAAGACTCTGTAATGAAGGTGTATGTTAATCAGGATTCTCATTAGCCACTACCACAGTAGTATATCCTTTAGGCTACCTCTGCTCTATTATGTTTTTGGTTTAAAAACACATTGCATCCACACTGCTCTGACAGTTTGGACTGGACCAAACATGGAGTGTCGACTGGTAGCTGGAGCGAGGTCAGTTCGCCTCCCAAGCATCACCGAGGTGCCTTTGAGCAAGGCACCAAGCCCCCAAACACCCAAGGCGCCTACCCAAGACATCTCGTCTTTGTCTTCTTCTTCATCTTCTTCGTCGTCTTCTTTGCATTCTTTGTCTTTTTCGTCGTCTTCATCTTCTTATTCGTCTTCATCGCCTTCTTTGCATTCTTCGTCTTTTTTATCATCTTCTTTTTCTTCGTCTTCGTCTTCTTTGCATTCTTTGTCTTTTTCGTCTTCTACGTCGTCTTTGTCGTCTTCTTCTTATTCGTGTTCTTGGTCGTCTTCTTTGCGTCCTTCATCTTTTTCGTCTTTGTCGTCATCTTCTTCGGCTTCTTCATCTTCATCTTTATCTTCTTCTTTGTCTTCGTCTTCTTCTTCATCTTCTGCTTCTTATTCATCTCCTTCTTTTTATTCGTCGTCTTCTTATTTGTCTTCTTTGTTTTCTTCTTTCTCTCTTTAACCAAGTAGCCAACCACAAAGTAGACAATCTGCTTCATGTTTACACCAGCTTGCATGCCCAGTGTATGTGAATGGTCGTTTGATATGCATGTTAGCACAGATGGACATCAAGTCCTGAAACGGTGCTAAAATACTTGTGTGTACGGAGATTGTTTTTATATAAAACACCATTTTAAAATCTGAATGTATAAGTGTGGATGTGGCCTTACTTAGAGTATTTCTTATGGTAATATTTTGATTCTTTAGTAACATCTTGAGTCTACCATGCCGTGCTAATTAAATATTCTGTGCTATCTAGTCTTAACACTCAGTCTCATCATGGGTTTGCTGGCATCTTTCATTCTTTGATGTCTTTTTAACTCAGGAACTTTTCATATTTCACGTGTATGCAAACAAAATGTCATCCCGTCACTTCCATGCTTTCACCTCATAACCCTAAATTACCCCAAGCGCTTGTAAGCATGACACTAATCGTGCCAAGCTTTAATTCTAATCATGGGAACCTGGTGTAGAAATGTATGCATTTTTCTTGCACAGCACCCTCAGGATGTCGATGAAAGGAAAGCTTCACTCTCACTGTGATTTTAACACTATGCAGAGATCTACTTAAAGCTATCATGAAGCGAGCAGAGGATATCTGCCTACCTCAGATGCTCTGAAAAGCAGTAAAAAGCATCTGTCCTAGTCTCTATTAATGGGTGCTACTTGGCCTAGAAGCAGAGGGCCTAGTTTCTGGGGTCAGGTGCAGGTATGCAGCAGTGCAATTACCACTGAGCCATAATCACACACATAGCACTCAACTTATCATGCCCATACGCCCCACAGTACCCTCTCTCCAGCAGAGAATAGCTGATACGTCTTTTGGGCAGCAAACATTTTATAAGCACTTCTTCTCTTTGTATGTTCCCGTCAGCCCATCTGTATGTGTTACACTGTTTCCGCAATGTGTTATTTTCTCTCGTCTCTGCAGTGACCCTGTGTGCTTTCTTCTTCTACAGTTTTCGAACATACTGTCCTATGCTAATGTATTAATTTTAAAGAGGTTTTTGTCTCTCCTCCTTTGTACATCCGCCTTTCTTTCCCTCTCCATTTCCATTTGTCTCTTCCTCCTTTCATCTCTCCCACACTCTCCACCTTCTTTTCTCTCTCTCCCATCCATTTCCCTTTTGTATGCTGTCCTCTGCTTCTCCAGCACGAGCCCAGCTCCGCCTCACTGCTCATCCATCTAGTTAGGCTGTGATGGCTGAATTATGTAAAACTAATGGGGCCAAGGAAGTGGGGTTCCACTCTCTCATGCCTGACCAGGCCCTGTGAACTCAGCTTGGCACTTGGCAGGCAGGACATGAGGCTACAGCACTCCTGACTGTTTGACCCATTCAGTATCACTTGATAGAAACATAGTTCCACTATCAAGAGGAGAAAGGGGTTTTATTCAGTTAAATGAACTGTTATTTCATTCATTTTTTCCTGTGATTGTGCCGTGACCATTACCAAAAACTGTGAGACCAGAGGGTTGTCAAAGCAGCCTAATATTTAGACATTGTTCTACTTTGTACCCACATTGGGTAATAAAAATGAATTAGTCTAGGGTCTAACCTGGGGGTCAGGAACTACAAAGGGGGCGCAAGATGATAATATGATATTGAGAGGATTAATAAGACTTGCCAAAAGTATCTTTGATAAATACTTACTTTTGTTGGAGAAAGTTTCAGGTATTTTTCCTTAGTATTGTGACAAATCAGCAGACTAAATCCATCCCAATTATGTTATGAATCTCAGCTGCAATTTCTTGCCAATATGGTTGGATTTTTGGGCATGCCCAGAAAACATGACGATGCTTGGCCAGTGAAGTTCCCCGTTGCCTCCAACAAAAGCCCCGACTCTGTACGCCTGTTCACAGTGCTGTTAGTGGAGGTTTGATAAAGAATCACATAAACTCTTTCAGGGACCTTGAGTTTGCAGTAGTTGCGAGTAGTAGTTTTCTTAAATGTATCTTGTAGAATGATTCTTTGAAATTTGAATACTTCCATACAGTCTCGAAACTAACCTTTTAGTATCTTCCATTAAGTATGCATTTGAAAATATAGTAATCAGGTTGTGTTTGTTTATCTTCAAGCTTTGACATTTTTTCTTGAAGTAGTCCTTAACTTGCAGGTATCTGTAGAAGTCCTGCCTTTCTAGTTCAAATGCCTTTGAAATATCCTGATAGCTCTGTTATTTTCCATTGGAGATGACCGAACAGAGAGGTGTGATACTTCTTCTGACCCACAGTTCAAATCTCCCATCCAACCTATCAGGTTCGAATTCCGGGTCAAATGCTATCCAACTCAAGATCCTTGCCCGTTTCCATCCATCCATCCATTTTCATCCGCTTATCCGGGGCCAGGTCGCGGGGGCAGCAGGCCGAGCAAAGCACCCCAGACATCCTTCTCCCCGGCAACGCTTTCCAGCTCCTCCTGGGGGACCCCAAGGTGTTCCCAAGCCAGATGAGATATGTAATCCCTCTAGCGTGTTCTGGGTCTGCCCCAGGGCCTCCTACCAGTGGGACAGGCTTGGGATACCTCCAGTGGTAAGCGCCCAGGAGGCATCCTAGTCAGATGCCCAAACCACCTCAACTGACCCCTTTCGATGCGAAAGAGCAGCGGCTCTACTCTGAGCTCCCTCCGGATGTCCAAGCTCCTCACCATATCTCTAAGGCTGAGCCCAGCCACCCCGCAGAGGAGACTCATTTCCACTGCTTGTATCCGCGACCTCATTCTTTTGGTCACTATCCAGAGCTCATGACCATACTGTAGGTGAGGGTTGGGACGTAGATGGACCTGTAGATCAAAGCTTTGCTGTCCGCCTCAGCTCCCTCTTCACCACGACGGTGCCCGTTTCTCCAATTGTAATTTACCACAGCTTAATAGAAAATAAAGTCCATTGTTACAGTTTGCCATAGCTCCTTTCAGCCTGGCTTTTGTTGCCTAGTAAAGTCTGTATTGGAATATCTCTCTGAGTACTTTCCAAAATCTTCCATTTAGAGTCAGAGTTTGATTCACAAGTGTTCTCTTTTCTGTTTCTCAAAAAAAGGCCACATCACTCTTTGTTTGACCTTGTGGCAACAGTTGCAGCCAGTGAAACTCAGTCATGAAAGTCAAAACGATTTGGAGCTGCTGTTTTTTTAGAGCATTTTATATTGTGCAGTAAACCTGCATTGTGCATTCCAGTTTTAAAAATATTCTCTTTCTCTTCTCTCCAGGCGTCACGTGTTGTCCCTCCACACAAAGGCAGCACTTGGCTACCATGTTCACCTGTGCAGCAAGATACCTTTCATCTTTGGGGATGAAGATACCATCATGTCACACCTTACCAAGGTGACTGCGGCCGTTAGTTATCAGTTGACAGTCAGTTGATTCATAACATGTAAAATCTGGGGCAGCGGCACTATCCACTAAGCTACCGACGCCCCTGTTCCCTCATTTTTCTTATGTCACACACAGGCAAATCAAGAAATGGATGATCCCTCAACATGCCATCCTTTCTTAGTTTTCAGCCTTATGTTTGTGCTGCTGATTGTAACCTTTTTTAATACCATTTCCTCACACGATAAACAATGGGTGTAGGAGGCTTATGCTTGTGAGAACAACAAAGAAATAAAATGCTTTTTATCTCATCTGTCGTCCCCGATCCAGCACAGTTTATATGCTCATAGCAAATTTCCTGTAAACAATCCCGACGTGTTCCACCACCGTATAATCACTGAAATGTATATGTATTGTGGGCGTTCTGCTTTTCTCTTCGGTTTAACTTACATTCTTGTTTAATTTGCACCAGTAACATTTGAATGTTTCCTCCTGGTTTCCTATTTTCAACAGGAAAGTGCCCGTTTCACTGAGCAGGCCTTGTCCATCTTGAGGGCCCTGTCCAGAGTGGTGTCTTCCTTTAGCCATGAGCAGGACCAGCAGGCAGCAAGAAGAAGCCTAGAGGAGGCTCACTGCCCCCAAAACATCAACAACACCCTGGAAAAAGGGGAACACCACAAGGTAGCGTGTTTACCTGTGGTCTTATAGTTGCTATGTCTAGATGCAGCTGTCCTAAGCCACACTTTGCAGTACACACATGACTATAAAGCATGTCACTGAGTTAATAATGAATGAGGGAAAACATCACCAGTCATATTGGTACTACTCATGAATTCCTGACCAGCCACGCTGTGTAGCAACTGTGCAACAAATGTTTCACCTCGCCATTCAAAAAGTTAAAGAGTTTTTTCGAGGATGTGTAAGTATTTTATCACTGATGCCACCGCTGTGCACTGCTTTTAGAATATTTTAAAAGTCACAGTTGTTTTTCAGCTGCCATGGACAATCATCAGCTCTGCCCAGAGGGGCTGCCTTACTTTCAGATAACTGCACAACCAGGATGCATACTGATGTAAACTGGCAATGTACTGAGCTAATACTCACAGTTACAAGGCTACCTGTTCCAGCTTTTACAATGCTGCTTCTTCTACTTTTTGGAACAGTAAAATAACATGTTTTTTTTTAAAGTTTTTTATTTAAATAAGGTATCACATGCCAAGAATGTTTATTCTTATCAATGTCTGTAGAGTTTGATTGCTGGTAAAAGATGGATAATAACCCTGACCTATACTGTTATTGAAAAAAGTGAATGAGGTTGTCTAACCACCTGCCTGCTGGAAGAACAGGGGGGTTCATATTGAAGGGTCATGAATTATCTCTTCTAGAAACTGTTATTCATGTATATTACAAAGTAAAAGACCAGGAAAAATAAGTGTCTTCATACACTGAATGCTCACATGGAGACACACACAGCACACAATTGCTTATACCCTTCTGCATATAGTAAGAGTAATAATAGTAGTAATTTATGCCCATCCTTCTGAACAGTTTTCCAAAATGAATGCACATAATAGAGAGTAAATAACAATCCATCCATCCATCCATCCATCCATTTTCATCCACTTATCCGATGCCGGGTGGCTGGGGCAGCAGGCCAAGCAAAGTACCCGAGACATCCCTCTCCCCAGCAACGCTTCCCAGCTCCTCCTGGGGGACCCCGAGGCGTTCCCAGGCCAGATGAGATATGAAATATAGAGTGAAATGGTGTAGACTGAATTGACCATGTTAAGCATGTTTATTGTATGCGTGTGTGTGTGTGTGTGTGTGTGTGTGTGTGTGTGTGTTTAGGTGTTCAACTGTGCAGTTTACCACATGTTCAGTGAGACTCTGGGCAGGCAGCTAACAGCAGAGGAGCGGTTTGCTATACTGGCCCTCACAGCTGACCCTTCACTCTTGGCCACTGACCCCAAAAAACAGCCCCCTACATGTAAGTGCTATTTGTGTGTTTTTGAATTTTGTACACTGCCCATCAATTCATAAATAATTTCCTATTACTGTTTTTAAAATCATTCACTCATTGTACCATATTTAACTAGTTGTCGTAGTTCAGTAATCAATATTAACATGCAGTATTCTGCTGTTACTCTCCTCAGTGGATGCAGAGTCAAAGCCTCCAGAAGGCTGGAGAGACAGGGAGCCGACAGACAGCGAGGTCAAGGCAGCCACCATTCTGCAGGCTGGATTCAAAGGGCACTTGGTGCGAGAGATTTTCCATGCCTCGAAACCAGGTTAGCACTCTCATACACACGTATTCATTCAAGTTTCATGGTCAGTTTTAAATCATATATTTCATTTGAATAGTTGAAAATCCTAGCTTATTACTTTTGATTACACTGTCTGTGAGGAATACTTATGCTCCAAATGAACATTTGTGCTGTGTATCACATACTCACCCCATGATATGTTGAATTCGTGAGAAGTTTGTTTTTCTCGCATGCCTCTGGTGAATGAAGAATCCAAAAAATATATATGTTCTTGAGTTGAAGTCGTAGGGGTCAGCATTTGACAACTGCAAAACTGTATCAAGACATGTGTTTACAAAGTCTCATTCATCCAGTCGGTTCTAGGTACATCCCAAACAGACGGCCTTTTCCATGAGGGAACTGAAAGTGAAACTTATCTGTATTCTTTTCAAACCCAGACTCCATTGACAAAAACAGTAATTTTACCTTGCTAAACGGGGGAGCTGCCAATCTACTGCTGCCTCGATTAGTTAGTTTGCTTGGTGTTTCAAAGGGACACACAGTGACACAAACTTATAATTAAGGCAGTGGTAATCCAGCTGCTCTCGTGTTCAGCAAAGTAAAATGGCTGTTGTTGTCAGTAGAGGGTACGTTACGAATCACATACCTTTTCTTTTTACTTTTAGTATGTACTGCAGCTGCCCTTAAAGAGTACATACTGTTGCATGCAGTGTGCACAAAATCGGGACATACTACTTTCTTATAACATTATGCCCTGAATTATGACCCTCTTACTTTTATATCTGTTACCTTGGAGATTAAGAAACTCACCAAGTTCACCAGAGTCGGAGATCAACCTGTAGAGCTCTGCTGTTGTTATTCTGAAATGTGTGTAGTTTAACTTTAAAGTTGTACCTGCACAGATTGTAGATTCTAACATTATATTCGTGACAGTGAAATCACATCTGCAGTTCTCTGTCATTGTTATTTTCATAGTTGCGTCCTTTTGTTGTTTGTAATATTTATGATTATTTTGTTTACCTAAACAATTAATATTCCTTTTATTACTGTTTGACTGATCATCAGTTACTTGAATGCGCTGTCATCCGTCATTGCGACTTCTGACAGCTGTCGATCAGGTGTCATCTGTTTGCGGGTCAGTCAATGTGACGTGTCGTCTGTTGTGAGGGTTGTGGGTCAGAATAGCCAGAAAAGCATGCTGGCTTACATACTGCCAAATCGGACCTGATATAGTAGAACATCCTGATGTTTTGGGCATACTGCATTTGACATGCTATGTATTGGGGCATAATAAATCTTTTTGTGGCATACTGTATAGTATGGTACTGTGGGTATTGGAATGCACAGATAGTCTGGCTTTGAAGAGAATCTCACTTTCAGTTCATCTCCTGGAATAGACTTGGATTATACCCCTATGACTCCAATTCATCTGGAATTTTCTCAGTTTCTGATTCTTCATTCACCGGAGGAATGGAAGAAAACCAAATTTTTCTTAACCAATTCATTATGTTATGGGGTGGAGTAATCAATATACAAATGGTCATTTGGGGGTGAAGTTTTCCTTTAAATTCTACTTGCTTCTTCAGTGCTCAATGTTTGAAAGACAAACCGATATGCAGCCATTGGGAAGGTTAAAGGGGTCAAATAAAACAACAAAATACCTGATTCATTTGTAGGTTATTATTTAGTGCACAAAAACACACATGCACACACAGAACACCTCCTGCGTCTTACAGTCACTGTTTGATTTAGCCCGATGGCATATATCGAGCCTCTGAGCAGAGGCAGAAATATGTATTGATGAGACTGCCACTCTCAATAACACACCCTGACAGATGAGGTGGCCACAGCGGGGACATACACACATGTAGGAGACGCACACAGGCATGCACATGACATTCTTGCATCGATGGCTAAACCTCTCAGTAGTGACAGCAAGTGAAAGATGGAGAGGAGAAGACGTGGAGACACTGGACAGCTGGCAGGAGAGAACGAGAGATTACACGGAGAGACAGAACTGAGCCGCTTTTCCTTTGTAAATTTAGTCATCACTGTTGCTTTGGAATTATGTTTTATTTTTGTTTCTCCCACTGTTTCAGTGCCAGTTATGCTCTTGTGCAGGTTGCGAGCAGTTTAAAAGGTTTCATCAGTTCCTCATTTAATTTTTTTCTAATATCTAATTTTCTCTAGAAGTGGTGATAATTATCTTACTGTGAAGGTGCGCTGCTGTTTGCAGCTTTTTATTGCCCAGACAGTCTCTATTTATTGCAGGGATCCTGAAGCTACCCGTGTCTTCTCCAGACCCAACACATGACTCTGTCACCCTCTAAATAATGTGCACATAAGGGAGTATGCACAGCCTCATTAATTCAATATTTGCATAAAAAAGTGCTGCACAATTATGTCAATGTGTTTTTTTAAGGCTTGAAAATGTAGTTCAAGCATACCAGACATCAAAAATATCTACATCATTATAGAACCCATCTGCCGGCAACCTTAAAAATATTGCTGGTGGTTATGTGGCATTAGCATGAGCGCACACAGAGGCTGAACAGCTTGACTTCGACGAAATAGGCCTGCCATGGTTAATTTCTCTCAAATTTTATTCATTTACTTGTCAAAACACAAAGTGCAGCTTTCAGAGTGGCACTTACAGTAATGGCAAAACACCAATCATATTTAAAAAAAACACTGCCTGTCTAACTACACTTTGAAAAGCCATTCATTTAAAGAAAAGTAAGAACTTGTCTTTTCTTATTTCTTTCACCGCACATCTGTTTATACCACATATTTCTGCACAACTCTCTTTTCCTCCTTGCTCTTTCCCACTGTATGTTCCCCATCTACTCTTTCCTGTCTGCCTTTTTCTGTCTGTCTGTTGCCTCTCTCTTTGGTTCTCAAGATGATAGGAGGTCTTCATCTCTCAATAGCCAGCCTTGGCCCGCTATAATGGCTGTATCAATTTCGAAAAGTGGCCATTTGAAAAGCGAGAGCCGAGCACCAGGGAAGGGGAGGGGTGAAGGGATGTGAGGACACCTATGTCACAGTCAGATGTGAAAACTTCCATCATGCAGCTTTCATCTCGGAGCGTTTCTCTCACTTATATGCACAAAGACACACTTACTGACTCACATTTAGTCATGAACACATAGTGCTGCATCTTTTATCAAATGTTCTGTTCTGTCCTGTCGGGGTGGTTACCTGTCTGGTGAGATGAGTGTGAAAGTTGATGTTAAGGTGTGAATAATCTCCTCCATCACCTCTTGCTGAATGAGGCTAAAATACGTTTTGCAATTCCTACTTACTCCCCTGATCTAGGTCAGCTGCAATAATGATTTCATGTGTTTGACAGCAACATGGATCATCTTCCATCTTTAATGCTGGCTACCTAACTGTGTGTGTGCTCGTGTTATCCAGGCACAAAAGAGAACCTCTCTGCATCCAAGATCCTCTCAGACATGTGGACGAAGGTTGAATCAGATGCAGAGAAGCATGCGGCACTGTTGCTACGGTAAATGAAGACTACAAATGCATAACCACAATAACTCTGTGTGCACATCATTTATCATCACTCAGTGTAGGAATTGTGCAGACACACCTTATTAACGCAGCAGGTATTCATTCAACCAAATGTCTTCATATGAGAGAATACAGAGGCTCCTCCTACAGTCCTGTGCCAATGCTATGTACATTGTATGGCATGCATTTAGCCTCTCTGTCGCACAGCATGCCCAGAATCTGCTCCCTCTCCTGGTTATGGCGGCCTGTGGCGGCCAGGCAGGGAGCATTTTCCACATTGTGTTCCATCTTTTCCCAGTGGTACCATCTGCTGTTTATCCTCTCCTCGTTCCAATCGGCTAGCAGCGTCTGCCGAATGACCCGCTGCCTGGGGAAGTATGTGTGTGCATGAGCATTGAGAGCTTGGTCAGTGTGTGTGTGAGTGTGTGTGGAGGGTGGGGTGGGGGTTGGTGGGGTGTTATGAGCCTGTGAGCATGTGTTTTCCTTAACCGGCATCCACTTCAGTCAAAGTTCACGCTGAGATGTGAAGTGCATCTATCTTCCTCTGAGGTAGTGGGGTTTTATTTCTTTTTTTTTTTTTTACTGGATTTCCTCATAGACTGTATATTAAGATGGATGTCACCTCTACACCTCCTCCCTCTGTGCAGAAATGATGCCAAAATATCTCAGATACAGGCGCTGCCATTTTGTGCTGGTGACATCATTTGGAGCCAGAGTCTGCGCAGTAGCTATTGGGAAGTGGAGCAACTTCAAACACACTGATTTGCAGACAGCTGTCAATCATGATGTCACACCTGCTTTTTATAACATTGAATAGATAAGGACCTGTGTCTACATTGTGTTTTTTATTTTTGAGCATCCGTGTCTTTCTTCAGAGAGCTCCGACTTTTTTGGGCAGCAGCTCCAAGCGCTTTGAGCTGAAAATCTTGTTGTCATCACTCCCACTCCCTTAGCTACTGTCTATTCCAAGCTGTATGATATGTTAATCAGAAACTCATAAGTCACAATCAGTACGTTTACATGGACAGTTTAATTCCACTTTCATTCGTAATGAAAGGCCATTCCGATTAAAAGTGGTCATGTAAACGGTCATTCTGATTGAAAATTAAATCCGATTAAAGGGGGTGGTTTATTCCGTTTGTCATTCCGAATGAGAGAATTTTGTGTGCATGTAAATGCTAATTCCTCTTTAAGTTCATTCCGGTCTTTCTGCGCATGCTCGTTTCCTTGCCCTTCTAGGGCAATGACGTATATATCGCGCATAGCAACGGGCTGTGATAGAGCAGTCGGACTTGTTGCACTCACCGGTTTCCATACGCCACAGCATGGTCTTCTGTCTCCCTTCTTCGACCTTCTACCTCTCTGCTCCTCCTCAACAGACGAAGCATTAGCAGAACAAGGTTGTTGTCGTACTGCTGCTTCAAGAATATAAGCAAAACAAGCCTGAAAAAGGCGCTAAGAACGGCGTCGTCAAGCATCTTGTTATCCGGAGCGAGGACTACAATGTTTTCTTCCGGTAAACGTAAACACGTAACATCCGCCCTGCCCCCTATCCAATCAGAAACCTTCCCTGCCCCAAACCTTGCGCAGACCCGAATAAAGGCGATTAAACTGATCTCCCGTATAAACCCTCATTCGGAATGAATATTTCTCATGTAAACTACCTGGAAAAACTTCAATCCGAATGATTTCATTCAGATTTATTCCATTCTGAATGAGAAGCCATCATGTAACTGCACCCAATGAAGACAGAAAAGCCAATTTGTGGGAGCTGAACGGCTGGACCATGTGTTACTGTGTGTGTAAGCTGGTTGTTAATGTAGTATTATATTAGCTACCCAGCTAATGGCAAGACATTGTTGTCAAAGAAACCAAACCCACACATAGCGCATTGTTACAAAAGGTGCTGAGCTTTTTATATGAAGTGCTGGGAAAAGTGCTTTTCTGCTAAAGAAAAATGGTATGTTCACACACGCCCTCATTAAAATCAAACTTATCAGAAAAATTAACACCTGAACAAATGATAATAACTACCTAAAATGACCTTAACCATCTTTGGGAAAAAATCATTTGACATGTACTTTTGGGGAGCTGTCATTTCATCCATCTTTATTATACAACCAGTTACATTAGGGTTATGTTTTCTCCAAAATGTTTGTGTAAATTATTTTCTGAGAATAGATTTTGTTCTTTTCACAATGTATGAGGTTTTAATACCTCATTTAAAATTGAAGTTTTTCACTGACTACATTTACATGCACAAAATATACCAATTTTTGCCCTTATTCCAAAAAAAAGACAATATTCCTACTAAACTGTTTACATGGCAAATAAAAATGAATATTCCACTAATATTCCCAATTACAGGCAGCAGTGAATACTCCAAACGTGTGGTTTATCACGTTAAATTATAGAGAAGTGTAGCAGCTGGAGACACATCACTTTTCTTCTTTGCATTAAAATGACGACCTTCTTGAAAAGATCAGCATTGCGATATTTACACATATCCAAAAACCTGTTAATATCCAAATCCTTAATAATGTTTAAAAGTAGATGTGTCTCTTGTTCCGACCAGAAACGTGGGGCTTTTCTTTTGGGCATGCATCTCTACACCAGCTTTGCGAACTGTTGGCGAATTGTTGTGTGTACAACACATCCATGACAACACACAGAGCTGACTGTAAACAGAGGGGAGGCAATGTGTCGTAAACTGCAGTAAAAACCCCAGTTAAGACGCATGTTCTGAATGTGTTTTATACATGCCCAAAGAATGCCATTAAAACCCAAATAAAACAGGCATATCCCATGTCTTTATGGGAAAATGCTCAATTTGGAAAAGGCCTAATTTGGAATATCTAAACTAGTGTTACCTAACTGGGGGGAGTAAGGGACCTGGATAATGGGTAGGGGGGGCTGGTCCAAAAAAAGTAAAGAACCACTTATGTAGACGGAATTTGCTGTTTACATGACGTGTATCAAAGTCAGAATATTGTCATATTCTGAATAATGGTGGAATATTAGTGTGCATGCAAACGTAGTCAATGTGCTCTGCCCTTTTGTGTTCCCTGCACAGATACATCATCAACCACTCTGAGAGGAAAGTAGATCTCTACCCCTGTCAGCAGGATGAATGGACCAGAATCACCTTCGCTGATTACTCTGTCTCTCTTCCAGACACAGCCAACTCCTGGGTCTTGGTCTTTAGGTTGGAGAACATTGCAACTTAAGGGTTGTTAAACTTGTCACTGAAATTAAACATGTCTCGTAGAATCTGGTTGAATCCGGATGTAAATGCCTGATGTCTGCTTCTCACCTAATGTCATTACGTTTGCACTCAGCACTGGTGAAGCTAATATCTGGACATGTGTAGATATCTTAAGGTTACAGATATAAGCCCGGTTCTACCGACTATTCAGTCAGACCTGATATCTTGCTGTTTACTTCATGTTTGTTGTTTGTGCAGAGAGGTGTTCCTGGTTCCTAAAGAAATGCTGCTGGTACCAAAAGTCTACTCCCCAATCCCTAACTGTCTGCTGCACGTCATAAATAACGACACAGGAGAGGAGCTGGACATGATTTTCAATAAAGTAGCGACCCATGTCTATCAACCCAACAAGGTCTGTGGATGCTGTGAATCCTTGCACTTCAAACCTTCATGTTAATTTTTTTTGGTAACTTTTTTTCCTATTATCATGATAAATTGCTTCACTTTAGAAATGCTTCCTGCCTGAATCAATCAAAAACTGGCTACAGGCTTGTTATTGACTGAATCTCTGTGTATCTCTTGTTCCAGCTTGGCTACACCTTTGTAGCAGAGGCTGTCACACCTGAATCACCTCCTGTTGGGGCCAAGTGGAGGATGCGCCTGATTGGCTCAAGGGAACTCCTCCCAAAACTGTCCCATGAGAGTCCTCTCAACACGTTCTCAGTGAAGGAATTCCGGGATTACTACATTCCCAATGACAAAAACCTCGTCTGCCGGTAAGAGAATCTTGGGCTATATATTTAATTGACAGTTTAAGTCGAATCATCATCATAGGATTTATACTGGTCAATAAAAATTCATTGTTCCTGAGGTGGATCATAAAAATAAACTTCGTCCAATAGCTCTCACTGATTCTCACTGACACTACAGTATACAATGTTTTATTATTAGAGGGTGTGACAATAGTCAAAGAGCAAGAAAGCTGTTGAAAAGCCCCATTTTTTAACACAAGCCAACATCAGAGATACTCTGAGAGATTAATGGTACCTACAGTAACTTGACACTTTTCCACAGTTACTTTGTGCAGGTGACGGCAGACGTATTGGGAACAATTCAGTTTCAGACTTCGAAGCCAGATGTGTTGATCCGCCTGTCCGTTCTGGACCAGGAGAAGGAGGTGGCCAGCAACACTGGGAAGGGCCACGTGGTGATTCCTGTGTTCTGCTTCCTGGCCAACAAAGGTGAGACTTAAAGTTTAGTAATCAAAGTAAGTGAATGATCATCTTCTGGATCATGGCAGAAGACTGTCTCTTATCTAAGGTTGCAGGGATATACCGGTTTAATGGTATACCGGGATATAAAAGGGTTGTCATACCATGTACATTTGCTTATCTACGATATTGGTGAAAAAATGCAATGGGGTGTTGGATCTCCCCCTTATTTTAGTTATTTTCTAAGGGAGGACTTTTTACACATAGTTCCATTAACAAAATGGTTTCAAGTTTCAGTTATAGTAATGAAATGTTTGTTCAATCAACAATAACCCTTCTGTTTTCATTCTTTTAAGGGTCATTCTGACTGATGATAATAACAATTTTGTAATACCATGGTACTGTGAAAACGCGATATTTTCTGAAACGGTTATCATACTGTGAGAATCTCATACTGTTGCAACCCTACTTTTATCGGAGTGTTGGAAAGTTACATGTTCAGTTTCTGTTTTCTTCTGTTGTGATCTTTTTGGCTGGACTGCAGAGGCAAGGTCAGCCCTATGAACAAGAAAGTCTGTCCATGAGTGAGTGAGTGGGTGACTGAGTTATTGAGTGATGAAGGTAAACCATTGGTCAGAGTGAGTGATGACGTGAGAATAGGTGTTTCCCCATTGGCCGTTCGAAACAAATAGATGCATGCAGACGTGTAATACAGTATTCTTCATTTTTTACATCAAGTGTAGCCTGATAGCATGGTGGAGTTAGCAAGCTAGCTAGCTAACTAGCCAGTAAAATGCAACATTTTAATGCTTTATTGACACTCTTGTAGGGATGTCACGATTACTTGATTTCACTATTAACCGCGATTTTAAATGCCACGGTTAATTATTCATAAAGATTCCTCAACACCGTCACTCTCCAAAGATTATGCCGGGACGTGGAACCATATACAGTTGGCAGATCAGCGCAACTCTCACGGAACGAAAACAAAGTTACACAAGCGGTACAGGTGAATAGGCGTCTTCGAGTGATAAAGTATGGATTATTTATGTTTCAAAGGGCATCTATAAGTCAAAAGCTAGCTAGATGTTTTTTTTTTTCCTGTTTAAAAATTCTCTTCTCAGGTCCAAAAGAAATGTTCAGAAACATTTTTGTGATATAGTTTACAGAAAGTCTGTAAAGAAATACATGTAGCATTTGAAACCTTTTTTCCCAAAAGGGAAATCCTGCTGTGGATGTTTAACACAGAGGTGATTTTTGTTTAATTCCAATGGGATTATTGTCATTAAATCTTGTACTTTTTGGTTACTTTTCTTTGTTGCTATATTATTTTTGTTATGTTGGCATGGAAATAAATGAAACTTAAAGATCTATAAGGAGTGTTCATGTGATTTTACACATTTATAGTGTGAAATTAATTAATGCATAATAATCGTGAAAATCGTAAAACCGTGATTATTTCTCTGACAATAATCGTACCAAGAAAATCTATAATCATGACATCCCTACACTCTTGTCACAGTTTAGCAACATCACATTGCTATTATTAGATGAGTGACAGCTTTGTTTTGCTCATTTTCTGTAGCCATGGTAACGTTAAAAACAAAAGCATGGTGGAATTAGCAGGCTAGCTGGCTAACTAGCCAGTCGAGTCTAAATGGCAGTTTTGGATGGAGGAAGGAGATGATCACCTCATCAGTTTGTTTGAGGAACAGCTGCGTCTGTATGAAGCATTGAATTTATTTAAATGTTATTGAATATTTCCTGTTACAATGGCAGAACAGGCGCCATCATTGCTACGAGAAGAAAGTGGAAATAAGACACTGAAGCTGAAGTGAATATTACGTGTTAAATTGACAAAACAGGTGCTGCCACCGATACAAAGCTTTACAAACTATTGTTATAGGCAGAGCTTGGCTGTGACGGTGGTCAAAAGCTGTGCAGCCTCCACCAGTCGTGCAGGGACGTACATCCTCGACTGGAGCTGAAGAGGAGAGAGAAGGGTTGTGTTTAAGCCAGAGAAAGGAAGTTTGATCAGTGGGTACAGATCTAGAGAAAGCAGCTCCCTTCTGCTGCGTGACTGTGTCTCACTGTGCTGTGAGCTTTGTGGGCTGCATTGCAACAACGGGCCCAGCTCATGCCAGCTCTGTAAAGTGAAAGTCCAAGTCAACGAATGTCAAACTAGGTATATGCCAGCCACTTCCTGTTTCAAATTAAAAATCCTCATTTCAAATTAAAAGCCCCCCATCAATAGTCTTATTAATTTAACACTCTACTAAACTCTTAACCCCAACATATTGAAGCAATGTAAATGTGTTCCTGTTTTACAATTCTCAATCACTGAACCAGATTTTCAAATTTTTCGTCTCAGGTTGTTTTTTTCTAGTTATTCTACTACAGTAGAATTTTTGCAAACTCATCAAACAGATACTATCAAAACAGCAGAGGTCCCATATGCAGCCATTTCCCTTCTAGAGCTGACTGAGTGGACATACTGTGTGAGAGAGAGGGGTGAGGGTATACAGTAAATGTCACGAGTAGGATTCAGCCCAGTTTTTTATGCTTTACTCTGCTAAAGTCAGCGTGACCGTCCTTCCTTTTACTCTTTTCTGTCTTACTTGTTTTTGTTGTTATTGTTGTTGTTGTTTTCACACTTTCTTATTCATGCTTTAGCAGTTCTCTGGTGGACAGTGCTCGGCAGTGAGCCATTTCCAGAGAGATTAATAGTGGCAACACCTCACTCTGTGAAAGCACACATACCTGTTACACTGTTCCCTTTAAGAAGTGCTATTAGTAAAGGCTCTTAAAGCATGTTTCCTGCCCTCATTGACCTTTGACCTGTTGCTCATTGTTTCATAGAAAGCATGTTTGGTTCTCTCTCTCAGTATTTGATGCAGCAGTCCACAATGAAACCCTGGAACCATCCTCGAATCCATGAACAGTCTGTCTCTGACGCTGATTGGTTGTTCCACAAAAATTCCCCCACTGTTCGGTGGCCTCAGTTCTTGCCCAATGAGGCTGATATTTTGTATGGAGGTCGAGTGTGTGTGTGTGTGTGTGTGTGTGTGTGTGTGTGTTCAGGCCATCAGATTAAGTCTTAAACAGTTGCTTCAGTTCTGTGCAGACATTCCTTTTCTAGACACAAAATCAAATTTGTCATGCAAACTCGTTTTTTCTGCCACTTCCAACAACACTAATGAAGTCTCAGTGTTGATAAGAGCTTGCCAAACACTAAATAGCTTGCCTTTGGGTTTAGCATTAAGAGTTGTGTAACTTGTCACTAGTGAGCTGGGATTAATGTTTGGGCACAGGGACTTTAGGGATAGTATGTTTGTGAGTAAGTAAGTGAGTGGCAGTGTGTAAGCTGTGGATTAAGTGATTTTACCACCTCTTGGATAGAGGGTGAAAGTGGTTAATTTCCTCATTTGGTTGTTGACTGGTGCCGTCATGACAACACTCTACTTATCCTGTTGGTAGAGTTTACTGTTAAATATGTGGGGTTACAGTCATCAAGAATAATTTCACGTGATGGACCACCTTATTCCTATTGTGGCTCAATCAAAAGATGTGTTCAGCCCAAGATGAAAATGCTAATTCACTCTGTCTGTGTTTATTCCGTGTATTTTCATTAAATTTAAGTAAGAGTCAGAGAAATACACTGATTGGTTCTACTCGTAGTGAAGAAACAATACCTGTAAAAACTGTTCCCAGTATGTTCTGTGAATTTGCCAGAGTAACAGGAACCCTGTTTGTGGACAGAGAGATTGCTGTTAAATTTTTTTGTCTGTTATCTATTATGTATTTGTTGATTTTCGGGCATTTTGCCTTCCTTTGATAGACAGTAGATACAGTTTACAGACAGGAAATGCCAGGAGAGAGAGAGAAGCGTATGATATGCAACAGAGGTCCCCAGCCAGAATCAAACCACAGACACTCAAGTTGCTGGTATGTTCTCAGCACCATAAAAAATACCATTGTATTGGTGGTATTGCTAAAAATCACAGAAATGGATATCCTAAAGTTGCAATCTCGTTGCTAGTCCTTGTTGAATTGGCAACAAAATAATACCACAGGCCACAGAGTTCTGGAGGCAGCAAAACAAATTGCTGTTGTTTTCATAAAGAAATTGGGCCTTAATTGGCCTTTCGCCGTCATTCTGTGAGTAACTGATCTGATTTAGTGCTGCAAAGGGCATGAGTCCACGGACAGCAGGGCAGCATGAAATCAATCAATGATTTATTCATTTGTTACATGAAGTCATACAAAATGCGATCCCGTCAGCTCCCGCAACATATGCATTGCAATGTAGACTTATTTTTTGCATCTTCTTACATTGTTGGCTACTGCTTTGTAACTGTCCATGATTGTAGATGGTTCTGGTAATCCATAGTTTTTGGTTGTGAAATAAATTAACTGTAGCTTTGGGTACAGTTGCTTCTGTTGTACAAATTAAATCCAATTTAAAGTTAAAATTAAAGTTGCACAGCAGCTAAGTTGGAGTTGTGCAGCCTGTGATCTGTAGCTCTTCGTCTAACAGTCTCACTCCCATTTTAGTTTCTTTACACTGGCTTCCCATCAGGTTCAGGATTCACTTCAAGATACTTGTTCTCGCATATAGAGCCCTCCACGGTCAGGCACCTGAATACATTAGTGGTCTCCTCCATCCATATATTGTCAGTAGGTCCCTTAGGTCTTCAGAACAGGATCTACTGGCTGTCCCCTGCTCCAGACTGAAAACAAAAGCTGATTGTGCTTTTGAAGTTGTGGCTCCAATGCTTTGGAACTCTCTTCCTTTAGGTTTACAGTCTGTTGTCTTGTTAGAAATTTTTAAAAAAACAACGACCCTTCTTTTTAGAATGGCCTTTGTCGAACCCAGAATTGTCCTGAATTGTTCAGTGCTTGTTCCGTGGTATGTTTCTGTTTGAGGCCTCAGTAGCCTGACTTTACTCTGTGTTTTAGTTTCCTTTTCTTGCTTTGTTTTGTTATATTGCCTTTGTTTTTATTGATTGCATGTTTTATTGTTATATTGCTTGAATTTCATTTCTGTGAAAGGTGCTATATAAAAAAAAATATATTATTATTAACAACTCACTGTGGCTGCTCCTTTTTGTTTTTTTGCTCCATGCAATATTTTAAACTGAGCCGCTGTCAAAAAATGCCTAAAATGGTGTCTTGTTTTGTAGATGCATATTTGATGAAAGATAGCTATAAGTACTAATCTCACTGAAAAACACATCACATTTTCCATTACTACTTTATAACATAAGTCAATTTTAGTTTTGCCAGTTAAATGCTTTTAATGTAAAGCTGCAGTAGTAGGAAATGCTTGGTTTGCACTAGCAGTAACGTTAGGTTATTTTGTTTATCTATATAACAGGGACAGTGCACAGCTACTTTGCCTCAGAGTTAGCTAAATTTCATCTGTAGTCCCTGGGCAAGAAACAGAAAATAATTTCTCTGCTAAAAGACACTATTCCATTTAAAAAAAAAAAAAAAATTTCAATTTCAAAATAAAACATATTCATGACCCAAAGGCTTCAGCAGTAAGACAACATCGAGTTAATACAACATTATTTCCGTAAATGTCAGCCCTCAACACCCAGTTCATTTTCACTGCAAATATATACATATTGCAATACTCCCATTAGTGGGCCAAAGGTTCAGTTACTATTGTGTGACCTCATTTGGCAAGATATAGTCACCTAACAGACATTTATTGAAGATAAAATCTTCATTTATTACTTTAAAACCTGGGCATATAAAACTAAAACCATCCCCAAGGGTAAAACCACTAATGGCTCGTGAGAAAATATTTTTTGGTAGTTTTACTTTGGCTGAAGTTGAGTGTTAAAGTGATATTGAACTGGTCTTTTTTCTATGCCAGCCAGATCTACAGTAAAACACAAAAGTGCCTTTCAAAACTTGCCTCTCAAACTCTTTAGTCTACTTTCCAGGTACAAAAACAAAACTTGCTGACCACTTGTCATGACTTAGTCGTGGGCTTAGTTTAATATCTCTCTTTCTGTTACAGCCACCAGTTGCGCAGATGAGAAGAACCAGAAGGGATCCCCCTCCCGGGGCAAGGGAGTCAAAGTGGCAGACACTCCCCAGCAAAGAGATGAGGAGGACGGCATAGCTGGGAAATCAGACTCCACATCTGACCACTACCAGCCTCCCACAGAGACTATGGTATCACTGACTAACTGCCTGCGTGGTATCTGCTGTTGCTCAAACACTTTACTGATCTCACTTGCACACGCACACAAGCGTGCATCTCACTTTCCCTCTCTGTCTTTCTCACCCACTTGCTTGCTGCCTGTGTTGATATCAATTTTTCACTGCCAGATACACATAACGCCTTACTTACAGGCACACACACACACACACACAAACTTACACACACCCACACAGTCATTCTCACACAGACAAAATTTGCAAGAGGAGAGCAGCAGAAACTGGAGGGGTGGTTCTGTTGTTACCGTCTGACTTATCAGCGCTTGTCAGGGAGCAGTGATTTGTACATGATTTATGAGTCACTGGATTGTCTGAGGACCCCCTATCTAACAGACCTGTTATCGTGCTTTGATGATTGCCAATGTATATAGGGCTTACTATATGTGTGTAGCGTCACACACTCACACATTGTACAGTTTTCACAAGTCCATAAGACAATGACAATCAGCTGAGGTTTATTTGTTTTGCTGTAGTGACTGTCAGTGATGGCAGCGATACATCTGGAGGACAACCAATCGTTTTAATGTTCCCTCTGTAACTGCACCTCATAAAGACGTATCATTAATTTGACATTCACAGCACTAGATTGAGAGAAACATATCTAATTACAATAGACCCATCAGGAAGTTTGTTTTGGTCACAGCCTGTGTGTATTACAAATATTTTTTTAGTACAAAGTCTGTTCAACAAATGAATCCAACAGTGTAGTGACAACAACAGCAATGAGACGGATCATGTCGGATCCCATAGATCAGATCAGCAGCAGGACAGAATAAACAGCTATCGATCACAAGTAAGACCACTGATCAAGACTCAGAGCAAAGGGCCAGTGATTAAAGCACTGATTTGTGCTGCAGGGACACACACCAGACATATTGACACTCAGTAATGGTAGATTGATGGTAAAGGCTCCTATGGTGTAATCTGTTTTGGGACTTAAAAACACATGTTAACATGTGAAAAAACAACACTGTAGCCTGAAACGAATACTTGCCCTGAGTGACCGAAGAATCCAAATCTGAGACAATACATGATGAATAGAAGTCATAGTTTAGTCATGTTTAACAACAGCAGAACTACATTAAAATGTCTGTTAACAATCTCTCACACAACTTGAGCAGTAGGTCTCATTTATCCAGTCATATGCTCAGTACTTCCCAAACAGACAGCCCTCTCTGACAGGGAACTGAACAGAAAGAGAAACTTACCTATGCTCTCTTCAGAGCCAGATTCCATTGACAAAAACTGTTATGAACACAGGAGCTGCTGGTCTACCACTGCCTTGATTTGTAGCTTGTATTATTGTGTTGCTTTACTTATTTTACTTACCTTTAGGCCGGGAGCCTGGTCCAGCCCTCATGATGTCCCCCAACTCAGGGCTGTTTGGTCTCAGGGGGCGAAATGATGTAAATGCAAATTTTAGGGCACTACGAAAGCATAAATGGTCATACAAGTATGAAACTTGGCTAGGAGTCTCCTAACACAAAGGGGAGTGTAGCAAAATAAGATTCTGGAGCTTGCTGCCATTCTATTTTAAAATATAACACACAACATACAAAAAAAAAAAAAAAAAAAAATCACTGTCCGTTTGACAAATCCTCATCGAAAATGATTATTTTTCATCACGTAGTATGAAATTTCACTGCTTCAGCTGCTTCACTTGTACATAGAAAACTTCACAAGTTGATAAGCTTCAATCTGAGCCCAAGTTGACCTTTGTATCTTGAAAATGCACTTGCTTTGGCCTAAATTTGTCACTATGCCTCAAATTAGAGAAAACAGAATTTTCAGTTGGTAGCCTTCCAGAGAATCTCTTTGCTAACAATGTGAACCCAGTGATGTAGTGTTGAGTTCCCCAAAGTCTTATGTTAGAAATGCACAGAATATGTCCCCAGCATTTGGAAACTGGCATATACTTGCTTATGTTGGGAAAATTGCATAATTAGCATTGATTAGCATAATCACAAATGTAGATGATATTTCAGCAACTGCTTGGCCAATTTGGACACCTAACTAGAAAGGGGTAAGTTTAGATTCATCAACTATGGTGGTCGACATGAAAACCGGTCTACCATTGCCTCAATTAGTAGTGTGTGTTATTTTGTGACTTAGCTGACCAAAACTAACTCTTTCAAACACCAAAGCTACACAAACAAACTAACTGATTGAGGCAGTGGTAGACCAGCAGCTCCTGTGTTCAGTGAGGTAAAGTTACTGCTTTTGTCAGTAGAGTTTGAAAAGACATGCTGGTCATGAGCTGTGGGTAGTGACCAAAAGAATGAGATTGCGGATACAAGCGGCTGAAATGAGTCTCTTTCAGAGGGGGAGGAGATAGAGAAAGGAGCTCAGACATCAGGAGCGAGCTCGGAGAAGAGCCGCTGCTCCTTCGCATTGAAAGGGGTCAGTTGAGGTGGTTCGGGCATCTGACCAGGATGGCTCCTTGGCACCTCCTGTTAGAGGTGTTCCTGGCAAGTCCCACTAGTAGGAGGCCCTGGGGCAGACCCAAAAGACACTGGACAGATTACATATCTCATCTGGGCTGGGAACGCCTTTAGGCCCATCGGGAGGAGCTAGAAAGCTGTGCCCTTAGTTTTCTTCACAAATTCAATGTAACACAGAGCGAGTAAGTTATTTAACCTTTATTCAAGCAGGAAGTCCCATTGAGACTAATAATCTATTACAAGAGAGACCTGGCTGAGATAGCAGCCAATCAAAACACATTTAAAATGCAACAAATACAACATATAATACAAAAATCCCCAACAACTATTCAAACACAGTGGCCTCTCAAGAAAAACAAGCACGTCTTTATCAACACCTTTGTTATGATGCCCTTAAATTCATCAATGGATATAAGTGTTTTAATTTAAGATCCTTTTGACGATTGTTCCGTGTCCAAGGTGCAGAGTAGGAAAATACAGTACCTGAGGTACATTAAAAAGCAACCATCTGGATGAGTATAGCTGGTAACTACCAGAGCTCACACACAGAAGGGAGCAGAGGTAGGCCAGAAGTTTGCCCAGTATTGCTTTATAGATAAAAATATACAATTTGCTGTTGTCTGCGAGCGGTCAATGACATCCAACCAACTGACCAAATCATAAAGAATGCAGTGATGAGTATATGACCTTGCATTTGTAATAAAACATAGAGATGCACTGAATCAAGGCTATGTTGATAGTTTTTTCTCAGCACTAAAAACAAGATTTATTTATAAAATAAAAAGTATATAAAAAGTATAAGAAGTATTCCTTGAAATTTATTCATAAAGGTGTACAGTGGTGTTACAGGGATTCATAACAACACACAACAGGCACAACACAATCACTCCCTACAAACTGTATTTATTAGGCTCTATTACAACTATAAGCACAACATCGGACAGAGTAATACTGTTTACTTATGGCTAATTTTTTTGTTTTGTGGAATTCGTCTTGCTGTATTAGCAGTCTCACCTTGGGATTTGTTGAAATTCTGTATTTTCTGTTCAGTGAGATGGATGTGGGAGCTGCCACCCCTGATATAATCTTGGCTAACACGCCCTCTGCCTCCTCTCCCTTTGTGCCAAGCATGTGCTTCTGTCAGAGAGGGCAGGGAGCAGCAGAAACAAAATAATGCAGTCCTTTAAGATCTCTGTGTCTCTCTGAATAATCAGCACTCGTACACTTTACAGCTGTACCCTCACAAAACACAAAACCAATCTCATGTTGGCTGCTTGTGTTTACGGTGTTGTGCGTCGCATGCATTATGCTGTGTATGTTTTTATTTTACAATGCGTGTATCTGTCTATCACATTGTGTCGAAGCTGTGATGTGGGTGTTGAATATTGACTTTGCTTGTCTGTGTTTCACAGGGTCATAAGTATGTGGTGCAGGCAGAGGTGCTCCGTAAGAGCTGGGACTTGGATGAATCTCAGCTGGCTTTCGTCCATATGCTCAGAGACTTGGAGAAGAGCGAAATGAGAGGTACATAGTTAAGACAATCATAAAGCCGACATCAAACAGTCAGCTACACCGAGCCGCCCGAGGGACAAACAGGAAGGAAAGTCACAGTTTTTATTTTGCTCCCTTTGAAAGCATAAAAATATGCTCAGTTAATTTAGTAAAGTAACATAATCTTGATCTGAGCATCCAAATAACAGCCTAAATACACATCATGCAGGGTTCACATATCCTCAAATATCCCTATAATGGGTCATGAAGCCTTTTCATGTCCGCATTTAAAAGTTTTCAGGATTTCAGCCCCGGGTTCTGAATGGATTTTCTAATATACGGACTTCATGTTTGTTTTTGCACAGCTTATTTTTGTGTTGAGCGTGAAATGTGGCAGATACTCAGCAGGCAGTGTCAGGGGCCAAGGCAGACGCTGTTTGTTCTTTGCTTCCGCCAGCCAGGGGCCTGTTAATCACAAGCCTAATGAAAGCCAAATGAATACAGCTGCTTTCGCAGATCACAGAGTGTGATTTCTTGTGCCCACTGGTCGTCGGCTGAGGCAGTAATCCCGTCCTCTGCCACCAACTCTGCCTCGACGCCTTTAATCACGCCGCACAAATTGGATCGATTGAAAAATCAGGGCTTTGAAATTTGTGAACGCTTCTTAAAAAATGTTGAGGGGATGAATTAATTGCGACAGGGGTGGATGCTGATGTGGAAGAGGTGACAATTTGCATGATTGCCTGAAGAGACAGGCTGGCCCCGCTGTCATTGAATTCTCATTCTCGTCCCTCTGTTGCTTCTGACAATAGTCCTCGTATTTACTCATTCAGTTTGCATGGCGTGAAATCTGAGGATGATATTGTGCGTGTGTGTGTACGTGAGTGTATATGTGTGCCTTTGTGTGGGAGGCATTCCTAAACCAACAACCAGATATCAGATGTGTTTTGACTACAGAGGAAGATAAACCTCTGGTTATATATATATTACGGTTATAGTCGTGTGCAAGCTGAACTGTAGCTATGCTGCGTGTTCATCCAGTCGTTTGCATGTGCTTTCTGCTCATAGCTACATGTGAGCACGTTGAGGTTTGTATGTTCGGATTTGTCCGTGTGTGCGTGCAGGCCAGTGTCCACACAAAACCTCCTGTGGTATTCCAATAAGCCTGTGAAAGTGGGTCGATGGGAAGTCAAATGAAGTTGGCTCTTGCCCCCTGGTGCCCTGGGAAATATCTCAGCAGGAAAGTGAATTAATTTCACCCAGTTTAACTCTGTCTCAGTGGTGAGGCTGTGCCCTTGATCATGCTCCCTACATGCTACATGGATGCACACGCACGACATGCCACGCCGAGCTTTGAAACCGCTTTAACAAGCTGTTTAACAAGCTTCAGTCAAAATACTGTACTGCGCATGTTTAATGAATGCACATTTACCCGTCTCTGCTTTAAACCCCAGTATATACCGTTGAGCAGTGAGCTGTGGCTGTGCGTGCAGTTGAGGCAGTGGTGTTCATTTCCCTGCAAACCTCTTTGACATTTTCTTTACTGTGCTGCATTTTGAGTACCTAAACAATGCGGCTGTAGGCTCTCAGTGAACAGAATCTTTTTTGATACATTCTATTGAAGTTTGGCCAGCTGAAAATCAGGTTTCAATACATGTATCAGCCCGAAATTACAACACAGATTGATATTTATATTCAATTTGAACATTGAATTTCGTTATGACTCTGAGATAAGAGTAACTCAATGAGCATGCACCAAAGCTGTTGAGGCAGAATGGCAGGGTGGCAGCTAAATGATGGATTATTATGCCTCTCTATTGCAGAGGAGTGAGACTCATCGTTAATGCTTCATCTAAGCTGGGGGTTGTGTTCACTGGAGCTATGAAGTGCAACAGTGCCATCTAGCACACATGTGACCACACGGCACATACAGAGCACTTGGTTACACTCCCACTTCAGCTGGGCTTTACTTGTGATTAGTAGAGTGTGAACAGGTACAGCAAATCAGTTAGACTAATACAAAATAGAAGAATACAATAACTGCTGACAACACAAGATAGAAACAATAGAAATAATCAAATGAGACAATACAAAATAAGCAGCGTGCTGAAATTATTAAAAAGCTTTTTTGAACAGATACGTTTTGAGAACCAATTGAAAAGATGTCAGTGATTCAGCGAGCCTCAGATCCTCAGGCAGGGAGTCCCAGAGCTGAGGGGCGTTTACTGAAAAAGCCCTGTCACCTTTTAATTTTTAGCAGGGACTGAGGAACAGCCAAGATAGGATGTTCCTCATTCCCTGCCTGAGGACCTGAGGCTGCGACCTGGCTCATAGGGGAGCAGCATCTCAGCAGGGTAGATGGGGGCTAAGCCATGAAGTGCTTTAAAAGTGATCAGTAAAATCTTAGAATCAATTCTAAAACTAAAAAAGATAAACATAACAAGACTATAACATGATGACTGAGACTTTTCTTGTATTGGTTAGTAGGAGGGGACAACAGAATGACTACAGAGAGTGATGCCGGTGTATTCACACAGCAGAAAATTAATACTAAAAATGTTTCAAGATAAGATAGAACTTAATCCTGAGGGAAATCACTCATATTCAATATTCACAAATGAAAAAACAACACAAATATACTACTGTAATATTATATACTAACTAATAA